AGTGTATAATGCCTGTGCGGCAAAAGACATTCAAAATACACAGCAGGCCGAAGTGTTCTTGAGTGGTTGTTAGTAGTGGGATAGCGTTGGGAGATTCTTGTACTGCCCGTGGGCTGTTCTCCATGAAAACTGTGGTAGAGCTTAATAGCTAGTCGGCCGGACTATACCTTACCGGTGGTAAATAAGTGGTGTCCTGCCCCACTCACACTTTTACGGAACCACAGAACCGCCCTGATCGGCACTGTGGTTAGCAGTGTTGGCTGCCTCACCGTTCTCGATCGTATCTCGGGATAGCGTTAGGAGATTCTTGTACCGCCCGTGGACTGTTCTCCATGAAAACTGGGGTGGAGCTTAATAGCTAGTCGGCCGGACTATACCTTACCGGTGGTAAATAAGTGGGGTCCTGCCCCACTCACACTTTTACGGAGTATCGAGAAGATCGTATCTCGGAGAAGGCTTGGATGGCTATACGTGTATAGTGTCTTCGCATCGTGGGATCAATTAAAATACATGGCTGGCCGAAAGTCTCCTAGAGTGCTTTGGTAGGCGAAGGATAGTGGAAGACCCTCGGCTTCTTTCCCGACGGATTCTCTTTCAAAATTGGGACTTAGCCGGGCAAAGTCATTGTCGCCTGTAAGAACGCCTAGGCACCCATGAAAAGGCACAGTCCTGCCATTCTTGTCAGGCTAAAATTTGTGGGCTTGTTTTCATGTTACCGTTAGACAAGTGAGATAAGTCAGCAGCAAATTAGGGTTCCAAAAAGAAAAGAATACACTGTAAATAACGCGGGAAAGAAATGAATCGTCGTTATTAGAAATGATGAAGTGACGTTGTAAATCGCAGTAGCGAGCAACATTTTCAAGAGAACGTAAGGAATGTCGTTGAGTTCAAATCTGCATAAATAAAGATGGCCTGAATTTTGCGTTTAATTGTACACTGCTCAAAAAAAAAAAAAAAAAAAAGACAGTCCTATATCTCCCGATCTACTGGGCCGATTGACAAAATTCAAATTGCGTTCTTCATGTCTTGAAAGCGCGACTTAGGATATATATTAGATTTATATATAGCACTATTCTAACATAGGTATTTTGACACAAAATCGGGCTTTTTCTGAAATAACATACCAATTTTTTTAAATATTTCGATTCTACGACTCAAATTACGCCTAAATATGAAAATTTGTAAAATTTGGAGCGAAATTTACGGAGAAATTCACAAATTTATGTTGGCACTTTTTTGTCAGTTTGCGCCAAGAATACTTCACTTGGCGAACTTCTTAATATATGGCAACCTAGTTTCTTTCCCGTGAGAGGAAAAAAAGTCACCTTCGTTCCTTTTTCCAAATAATATTCTTATATTATATTTTTAATTATAACTTATTATTTTAAGTAATTTTTTCTTTTTCGAATTTCGTTTTAATTGTTTAAGTTGCACGTTTTTTTTTTTTTTTTTTTTTTTTTTTTTTTTTTTTTTTTTTTTTTTCGAATAACTGTTTTAAAAATTTCTATTTACCTATTCGAACTGCGTAAATAAAGGTGCAGCATTTATTTTTTTTCAAATAGTTTTCTTTATATATTTTTCGTCATAGTTATTATTTTAGGTAATTTTTAAATTTTTATACTTTTATTTTAATTGTTTGTGTTGCATTGTTTCTTCAGATAATTGTTTTAAAATTTTCTATTTATTCCTTCGAACTGAGCGTTTTAAATATATTTATTAATATCAATTTTCCAGAATTTGATTTTATTTATTTGAACTGCGCGTTCTCTTTCGGAAGAATACTTTGTAACCCAGACTACGATGAGTTTGAAAACTGCATACTATATTAAAAGAGAAATACAGTAAAGCACAGTTTTACACGCCTTTTAATGTTCCGTTCAGAAAAGATATATATAAATAAGAGAGATGTATAACCGACATTTTAACTTAGGATGACTTGCATACACTGCTTTAAACAGTTTTATCATTGTGCCCATTGCTTTACACAATTTTATCCTACATTTGGTTTCTTAAAATGTTATTCATATTTTAGTCAAATATTTTATTTTTGAAATCGCAAGAATCAAATATCAAAACATTGAAAAGTTTTAAATTTAAAAAAATACAAATACTAAATTTTACGAAAAAATTTATTTTTCTTCTCTTTTTCTTTAAGCATTCTGAAAGTATATTAAAAAATATCCAACTTTTCGAAACATTTTGGTATTTCCGACAATCATTTTAAATAAAGTTATCGCCTTCCATTTCATAAAGGCCCACAAACGGCCGAGCGGTAAAGACGCTGATCACTGGTAGTTCGGTCCGAGGTTCGAATCCCGCGAACGGGCTGGTTGCATGGGTGTTTTCGTGGTTTTCCCGATGTGTAATGTGTATACTAGCCAGTTTCCCTTAGAAAGTCCTCCACGAAGGCATCCCTCCCTTTAGGCAGATAGCCCTCGTGTGCTTTGCCATAATTAAATAATCCAATCCAATCCATAATTAAATATAATTGATTTGTAACTTCTACTAGAACTGACGTTAAGAATTGAAGTGCAAATAAATAATATCGTGTGCAATCTTGATTAATATAAAATTAAAAATATTTGCACAGAAAAATATTTGCATTCAGACAGAAAGTTTTTTGAAATATTTGCAATTACTTGTAAGAAGGATATATTAATAACCGTAATAATTACTTTTTATATTACTGATGATTAGGAATCAGTTCTTGACAATTACATTCTAAATTAGAATTTTAAGAATTATTAGAATTTTAAATTAGAATAATGAAAATACGCTACGCACAAAAATACATTTTAGGATAAAAAATGAGTTGATTTTTTTATGTTTTAAAAACTTCTTGAATTCATTTAATAAACATCGTATCCTCGTTATTAATTGAATTCAGAATGTTGGGTGTCGTTTATATAATTATTCTTACTTGTCCACGGAATCTTAGCTGCAGATCATTTCTACATAGCCATTGAACTTCCATTAATTCAGTCTCTAGAGGGTTGTATATTTATATCATAATTTGACTTTTATAAAAATGATTATTCTAAATCTTATGTTTCTATAAAAATATACTGTGCTTTAAAAATATGGATGATAGTACCAGCCGCTCTTTCAGCAACTTCAAAAGCATCAGTATGTTTAGAAATAAATTGTGCAGTTAATGTCATAAAATTCAAATAAACATCAAACGAAAATTCTCAGTTTTAGACAATTCGATTTAAAAACGAAGTAAAGTAGCAGACGATAAAAACGCCGAAGGTAAAAATTTACTCTTACAAAAATTTACTTTTATTTAAAAAAAAAAAAAAGATAGAGAGAAATTAAAAAAAAAATATTAAAAAATTAATTAAAAAAATAGCTTTTCATATAGTATTAATAAATATTTATTACGCATCATTGAGGGAAAAAATGTCATATAATTAATTGGTTCGTAAAAATTTTACTTGAAATTTAAGGTTTTAAAATAGCTGTGGCAATACATTGTAACAAAAATCCATAGACCACATTTGGCATTATTATCGCTCAAAAAAAAAAAGATGCCAAATTTCAAAAACGCGAAATATGTAAATTCGTTCATATCTTAGAAAATTTTGAATAAAAAAGTCGAAATTTTTTGCAGATATGCTTAAAAATATACCTACTTTAAGATGATGGTAAAAATTTTATAGGTTATAATTCAAAATTTTTTTCGAAAAATTTATAAAATTATTTAAAAATAGAAATTTAAAAAATAAAACACAAAAATCGGATTAATTTTATTTGGAATGAACCTAAATTTCGAAATGTGAGAGAAAAAATCAAAAAAGTTTAATAAAAAAAGAGATATAAATAAATATTTGCCAAATTCAATTAACATTGAGGAGCTAAAATTTTGAGAGCTAATATTTACGTATTTCAAAAGTACTCCTACGATTTTTACAAAACTTGGTATTCTGGCATAATTTGAGTCGTAGAATCGAAATATGTAAAACAATTGGTATGTTATTTCAGAAAAAGTCCGATTTTGTGTCAAAATACCTATGTTAGAATAGTGCTATATATAAATCTAATATATATCCTAAGTCGCGCTTTCGAGACATGAAGAACGCAATTTGAATTTCGTGAATCGCCCCAGTAGAACAAGAGCTATAGCACTGTCCCCCTTTTTTTTTTTTTTTTTTTTTGAGCAGTGTACATTGTTAATATATTCCGGATGACGTAAAATTAAGTAACGTAATGTTCGAATTAAAACAACTCCCAAATACTATGGCATCATTTGATTCCACTCGTTATCGCACGCAGTTTCCTTTTTGGATTCTCTATTGACAGTTCTGTTTTATGCTGATGATTTGTGAAATAATTGTTCCATCCTATGCTGCAATAAACAAACTCTCTTCTCCTTTTAGACTGATCGTTTCGCCTCTGGTTAATCGGTCACCGTCTATACATCTATATCAAATTAAACCTGAACTCTAATTGTAAAACATAACTTAACCATGCCATCACCAGTAGTTAAATTATTTTCATATATTTCTCGATTTTAATTAGAGAAATTTTCTAACTGGAATTTTCTATTATCGGTGTTTAAGAAAATAAACCTACAAACATCTATTCGAACACCTTTTATAATAAATGTCATTTTTTTTCAAGGATAGGATTTTAAATCAATGCATGCAAATTATTTGCATCCGAGATATTTTTCTTTTACACTCTCAAGTTTCAATTAAACATCAAAACTAAATAAAATTTAGAGTTTTATCACAATTGCTTGAAAACTAAACTATCTCCGTGTTCCTTATGAAAGCAATGTGAAACTGAAATTTCATGCTGGATGTCTGGCTATTTGAAAGAGTGACATACGGAATGAAGAATATGTAGAAACAATTCGCAGTGAGAGGTCACATGTTTATGAGAATAACAGCCGAGTGTAAAATATCCCAACTTTGTTAGTTCTAGTCTAGACTCTGTACCAGGAAATATGCTACACACACAAACTGGATCAAATGAAAAGTGCAGGTTAAACGATTTCTGACGACGACTTAGACTAGACGCTCTCTTCTGGTAATTGGGCATGGATATACTACTGGTGATTCTTCTGCACTTTAGTCTTCTACTGCAGTTCAGCTCAGGAGAAGAAGGTAAATTATTAGCTCTTAGTTACAGAATGTTTGTAGTTAAAAAATGTATGTATGTGTGATCTGAATACCTTAAAAGAAATTGCAGTAGTTGCAGATGGTCTCTTGGATTCCTACATTTTGGAGACGTAGAGTCTACCTAACCACTCTCCCATACATAACCGAAAGTATCTCGAAGGACGTAATCCAGCGGTTTCAAGTACTCTTTATTTTACTATCAGTTTCCCTACCGGACTTCGGGATTGAAAGATGTTAAGTGCCCCCTCTCCGCAAAGACACTTATATGCCTTGTGTGAGATTCGAACTCCGGCGTAAAGGCGTATGCATACAGCCATTTTTAAACAGCATTCTAGTAGTAGTCATACTAGTGGAAGTCGTAGTCGAAGACTGAAAGTTTAGCAATTTTTGCAAAATGGTCTTAAGACTGCCCGTACTGAATCAAGGGTGTAACTGATTTGAAACAAATTAGCACATTCTTAAAATAATAGAAAGCAATTCTCTGCAACACTGTGGAGTATTTCTTTCGATTAGTGCTATCTATTCATTTTGATTTCAAAAATAAGTAATTCAGAAAATTCTGCATCAGTCCGTTCCTCTTCTTTTCATAGATTTTATAGGAAAGAGTTTATTAATTTAATGATAATTGTAAAGGATATTATGATTTAAAATATTTGTAAGCTTCTTCGAAATTGTCGAATTGGGTCAAAATTTTAATTTTAGATTATTGAACTGCTTTCCTATTTCTCAGTAGAAAAGATAATTTTTTGACCAAATAATTTTCGAAGCGTTAATGACCTTTAGTGCAAGCATGACTGTTAATAAATTCTTTAAATGACAATGGCGGATTTCAAAGCAATGAGATTCATTCAGATCACTTAAATACGCATATGTTGTTAAATTCAAACTAGTTTTTTACAGTCATGAAGAAATGATTTTAATACATAAATAATTAAACATTGCGAAGAAATAGAACATGTTGTTAATTAATTAAAATTTCTTCAAAAATACCCATACGGTAAATTTTTTATGCTAAACAAATGTTTCAGACAAAGAATCTGAAACATTTGTTTAGCATAAAAAAATTTACCGTATGGGTATATATATATATGCTTATTAAATGAATTCCTAGACATAGATTTTTGAATAAAATATTAAATCTGTAAAATTATTTTTTAAACTAAAGCCAGAAAACATAATGAACATTACCTTATCATTAATCCTATAATATTTATAAACTTGGTATCACTGAAATTCCTTTAGAAATTCCTCACATATAAATAGTTCCTTTAATGCAGGTAAACTCTATTATTCTGAAAACAATTAGTAACTTAACAGCATACTAAAGAGGCTGTTCGCACATTTTTATAGACGATTTTGTTTTGCTGTAAAAAAAATCTTCTGCTTGGAATTCTCTTTTTTTTTAACTGCAATTATTATTTTTTTTAAAGTATAAATTATGGTCTGCTGCTTGACAGTTTTGTTTTCATGCAAAATGCTGTTTTTAAAGAAGCAGTGGATGGGATGTTAAGTTTGCATTCTTTCCGAAGAATATGTTTCGTACCTAATTATTAAAAAAGTTAGAAAAGCCATGGGTTTTTCGATATCTAAAGCTACAATAGGTAATGTTGTCAACGACAAAGGGGAAAAAATGTCAAAATTTAGCTTCTAGTGGAAAAATTGTTCCAAATACGTCACCAAGGAAAAAACGGGATGTTTCGAATGTTGCTAAAGTAAGAAATGTAATGCTAAAAGAAAAACCACCAAGTCAAAGGCGAGTTGCAAAATTATTAAAATGCGTGGTGTCAACTGTAAATAAAGTGATAAATGCTGATTTGAATCTTTATATGGCGAAAAAACATAATGTGCATCGTCTTTCTCCACGTCATATCGCCGAACGCAGAACGCGCTTCAGAAATCTTTATGAGAAACATTTATCCGAATAAAAATGCAAAAAAGTTGTCACACTAGAGGAATCTTGGGTGTACCTAAATGACTGCAATAAAAATAGATCCATTTATTATCATCAAAGAGGAGAAAAAAACCTTAAAACATAGTTCAAGGAATCTAAATAAAGATTTTTCCAGGGATTTATGATTGTTGCTGGTGTTTTTTATATAACGACAAATTAAAAATAAAGAGAGTGGAGAAAAATGTTAAGATCAACTCCACATATTATCAAAAACATATTTTATACCGAATTTCCAAATATGAAATACCTTATCGTTATACACAGTGCGATCAATCAGTAGAACTGCATCAAGGCAAAGCAAGCAGCGACACGTCAGAGTCTGTTAATTTCCGGGAAAAAAATAGAACAAGGAACGGGTATGAAAGCTATACCCTTTACTCATATCCCTACTAAATCTCCTGATCTATCATCAATGTATGTTTACTCTTCTAGTCTTTTAAAAAGCGGGTTGTCCAAACGTTGACCTACAACATTCTTAGACTTTGGAAAGCTGTTCGAGAGCAGTGGGATAAGGTACCTCTTTGGATACTACAACAGGCTTTATTATCTTGGAAATTACGGTGTATAAAGCTAGTGAAGAATAACGGTTATCAAACAGAACATTTAAAACATAAAAATTTTAGGTAAAATATTTCTGTAAGTACAAGTGAAAACCGTCTAAAACATGTACGAATATCCTCCGTAGATCTTATTTGTACAGCCGAACAACTGACAAGAACTATAAAGACCATTAAACTCAAAACATAAAGCATATTTTTCATTTCAGTGGCCACATTTTGTAGCATCAGAATAACCAAATTAGAAATGCAGAATTTAACAGAATTTCTAAACAAAAATACAGTTGCAGCCAAGGGCGGATTAAGCGCTCAGAATACTCTTATGTTCTTAAAAAGATTTTGATGTCCCACACATACATTTACTCCTGTTTTTCTCTCATTTCTTCGTAATCGGTCTTCATTTAGCTGCACCATTCCGTGGTAAAACTGGCAATGAAAATCTTTTTGCAATGCCCCCTTTCTCCCTAATGACTTAAGCCCGTGCTTAATTTGCTGAACGGTCAATCAAGCTCTGGTTGCAGTTAAACCAGGTTTAAAGAGATTTATTAAGACGATCTAGAAGTTTTAGTCAGGGGAGGGGATCAATCACTTCTGGTCGCATATTAAAAATAATTTCATTTTTATAATGGCACATAATGAGATAGAAGAGGAGAATTCTAGTGGTTCAGCACAAAACTATGAAATCGTATCATCTCATCAGTTAAGAAATAAACCCTTAAGAATGAATAACTCTTTAGTTATGAGAAAAAGCAAATTTTTGTTTCGTTATAATTCGTAAAATCACAGTTTTGTTTAAAAGTCGTGTATATTTAGAGAAATAATATGGGTTATAGGAATTTTAAAAGTTTATAGGTTAGGAATTAAAAATGCATTTCTGTAAGTTTTTTTTTCCCCAGAAAAATAATAATTTAAATAACATTATTTCTAGGCATTAAATTTATAAATGAAGAATTTTATATTACTCACAGCTTACTCTGATTAAACAAAACAATATTTATATAATCTCCAACTAATTGTATTATAGTTGTTAACTCTGTACCAATTAAAAATATGCATATGAAATTTTTACATAATAAACTTTGCCCCCCTTAGTTAAAGAAATGTTAAAAAAGAAGGCAAGAAACACTTTTACTCCTTTCCTATAATACCGAAAAATATTTTAGCAAAACCTGAAGGTGTCAAAATTCCTTTTTAAATTGAAGTGCCAAAACATAGGAAAACGTGACTGATAATGAGTGCTTGAGCTGCGGTTACTTGAAGTGGCCTCCAGGAAACAAGAGTCCTTTCGAAATTTCATCAAGCTGTTCACATTCTGTGAAATCCCTGGTAGTGGACTGATTGCTAGAAATTGCTGCAAGACATTTAGTAAAAATTGTATCATGTTCTGTTAGTGTTCAATAAGGGTTAAATCCAGCGAACAGCGGGATAAGTGAAGCCCCTACAGCGTATTTACTGAGTCAAATCTGTGTCGTCCGTGTGCTAAACGAAGTTACATTATGCATTATCATGCTTTGGTATAAATCATCACTGTTATGAAATATCAAGTTCATAAGAGTGCAATCGTCTACAAGAGCCTTCTGTGTATCGCCTTTTCAAAAAAAGATTCTAGTAATTACTTCAGAAGCACTCCCCAAATCATAACAAAGTCACAACCAGTTTGTCCTATAAATGTTCAATAGTGTTTGAATGCAGAGGCAGCATTCTTAGCTGACAGGCAACTGCTGACTGAACAGATTTATAGGATTATATTGTCTCCTCCGTACTCGAATACGTGCGTCATCTCCAAGAAGCTGAAAACGTAATTCATTTATCTAGGACACTGCGCCATTCGTCTATTATTTAACGGTGGTATTTAGCCCAGATAGGTCCATGAGCCAGATAAGTTTATTGATATATAGGTGGCTTTAAGAGGCACCAGCTGAAAAACTGGTGGACAAGATTTCTCTTCTTTGTCGTCTTCATGATTTTACCCCACCAGCGCTCGAATACATATGGCGACTGAACACTCTCTCGGCTTCCATTCCCGGCAAACGGGCTAGTTGAGTACTTTTTTTTTTTTTTTTTTTTTTTTTTCTTCGTGTGTAACACGAATACGACCTAATTTTCTTTAAAACGTTGTCCACAAAACGGTCCCTCCTAAAGCAGATAATCCTCGCGAGCTTTCCTCGCAGTCATTTAACCAATTTCTGTGATCAATCAATGAATGCATTCCTAGTTTTATTTTTAATACAATTAATATTAATTGCCAAAAAATAATTAAATAAAATAAAAAATAAGAATAAATAAATACAATTTTAGAGAGTAATAAATACTTTTCAACTTTTGTAAATGTCTGCTGTAAAAATATATTTCCTTTTCTTTGGATGTATAATTATAAGGTTAGGTTATTCAAATACAGCAAAGCATATAAAAGCTATCTTCCTACCTAGGAGGAGAAATGTTTTCATGGAGGATAATCGAAGAGAACTGGTTCGTATTCATGTCACACATGGGCAATACCAGGAAAGTCTATTACCCAGCGAGCTTTTTATTCTGGAATCGAGTTCCTAATTATCCAGCAGTCTTATCCACTTGGCTACTGATGGGGCCATAATTGTTAGGAAAAATCTGTTTGTTAATTTTTTAAAAAGTAATAAAATTACAAAAATTAAAGCCCTTTAAATTTTTATTAAGAGAAAAACATGCTACGTAAAGTTATAGGAAATAAATGCTGTATAACCGAAAATCTGTTAGCTATCAAATATTGAAAATTTTAAACATGACCTTAATTATCTTACTTGCATATTATTATTTAAGCATGATCTTTCTCCCTCTTTATTGAAGAAGAATTTGATCTCGGTATAAATTTTAATGTCTATACATGAATAAATCTGTAAAAGGGCATATTTTTTAAAATGCATTTTTATTTACCGTGCACTTAAAAACTGATTTCAAAACGCCCATGTGTCCTAAACATTCCTTCCGAGTTTCCATTCCAAGGAATAGAAATTTTCCTTATGTTTTTTTATGACATTCATTTTAAGTTCTGACGATTATCGTTTTACGTTTAGAAAGTCTAAAAATTTTCTTTGCAATCATAAACTGTAACTAAACATTAGATAGACCGGCAGCGAATTATGGCTAAGTAACAAATGAAACTTCAGAAATTTCAGAAATTTGTAAAAGACCCTTTATTGAAAACTAAAAAAGAGCAAAAGGCACGGTTTATGCTTACAACTCAGCCAACCACTTGCGGTCAGATAACTCAAAATATCAGTAAGTCATATGTAAAATTTTTAATTAAAATAAGCTAGTGGTTAAAGGTTACAAAGATTAATTAACGCGAAGTTGGCTCAAAACGTAACCGACGTGGACATTCAACTATCGGCAGTTGTAATGCAAGGCCCAGGAATATAAATCTTATCTTGCCTAGCAACCTATTAATGTCGCCTCGAGAGACAGAATACCCTCTGTCTTACAATCTAAAAACCTCACTGCGAACTAATTTGCATTCTGGCGGGAAAACGGAAGGAAGAAGTAACAGTAAAGATCCAAAGCACAAAATAACTAGTTAATTAATATAAAGGAACCTTACAAGTTCCAAATGAAAACTGTCTTATTCTGGATTTTGATAATCTTTCTCAATTATAAATTTTTTAAATGCTTATGTTATCTGTACGTATTCAACTAACTAAGAATAAGCCTTAAGAATAGTTAGATTAATAAAAAAAATTAATTATTATCTTTTCTCACAATTAAAAATTTTTGTAAGACTGGACTTGCGAGATATGTGAAAATACCTGTAAGTGCAAAAAATAATCTAAAGCACGAAATAAAGGTGATTCTTTTACAATATTGATAAAAGAACTCAGAATGGCTACATTTTAGACTGCTTAACATGTTTGGCTAAGTATTGTTTTTCATTGTTTGGCATGTATATAACTCACCTAAAACTCACGCATTTTTGGAAGCTCTTTGAAAGGTACGGTTGAAAATGCTAATGTGGAGCTTAAAATGTAACACATAACATAAATTTTTCTTATGCATTTGGATTAATGAGCTTTTGAATTACAGTGTTATGTAAAGAGAATGAAGAGTACAATGAGTGTGGCTCTGGATGTCCATTAACCTGCTCTAATTACTTAGAACCTATATTTTGTACAAAGCTCTGCATAAAAGGTTGTTTCTGTAAACCTGGATATATCAAGGGACCTGGTGGAAAGTGCATATTGCCTGAGGAGTGCCCAGTAGGTAAGAATTCATAAATCTGTAAAAAGTATTAATGAGAGAATATCTGATAAGATGTTATTGATAAATATATACATATTTTTAAATTAACATTAATAAATTTAACCTAGAATATATATGAAAATATAAGCATAGATGTAAACTAGGTATGCTAACGCAAGGACAGTGTCAGTAAAAGTTGCAAAGTGTCGCTAATATGCATACTACATCACATAGTATATGACCCTCTTTTCAGTCAGAATGACCTTAATCCATCTAGCGAAACGTTGATCATGATGAGACAATACGACTTCTCACATGATGGAGTAAATTGACCCATAATATTAAAATAGAAGTAATCACACCTATAGTTTTAGTCAGGATAACTTCCTTCCGGTGTTTATTTCGTCTAAAGGTTTTTGGTTTTTGACAAAAATCCTAAGTTTTGACACCTTTTTTTGCGACTGTTAAAGTGAAACCCGAGCCAAACAAACGTTCGTTTAATTAAAACGGTGAAGAAAAATTACTCTGAGTGATTTCTGGAAGGGCAGAGGGAACTGATTCACCCCCCTAAAAGGCGAATTTGAAGTTTTTACCGTCATTGATGAATTATGTTATTTAAAATCACTTTAGAGTTCCCTGAAAGCAAATGAACTAAAACTGGAAACATTAAAGTTTTGAATTAATTATATGAAAATAATGTCTCACAGTGTATTCCAAATGAGTTTTCGCCGTTCGGTGGGAAACTTTGGCAGTAGACTAATAACATTATAGTCTATAAGAAGGTTATCGAGAGTAGAAACTTTATTTAATTCTGAGGTTTTATTAAGTTTGTTTTATAAGTTGCATGCGTTGAAATTTTAGCAATACTATTAATTTTTACCATTTTAGTCATGTGATTTATGAACCTTATCTAAGTGAGATTGGTTAAATAACTAAAAACTGATATAAATATAAATAAAAGATAATTACAATGGAAATAAAAATCTGATATTTTTTTCTTTAAATTGTTGATGCATATTATTTCCGTCGGGTGATTGAAATGAAAAAGAAAAACCTTAAACAAATAAACTTTTGAAATTTGTTTCACATAAAATGGCTCAAAAGTAACCTCGTTGTCTGAAATAATGAACACAAAAATGAGGTATTGCCATTTTTTTTTTTTTTTTTTTTTTTTTTTTTTGAAAACAAGCCTGTTCATCGTAGGTTAATTGAATAAAATGCTATTCAAAATATCTGCGCCTCATTAATTCGGTTTATTAAAAAAATAACAATAATCCCAAGTACCCCAATCCAATCAATCTAGACAAACGGGTTCCAGAGTTTTAATAATAGACTAAATGAAAAGTGGAACGTATTAACTTAACGGTGGCCTTCATCGTTAAGGTGCAAAATTTTACTGGTCGTACCAAAAATCTGTCTGCGGGATCTGTGGAATATTTGGTCGTAGTAAAAGTATCACAATGCAAAGTATTATACGAAATTTTTTTAACTGTTTAGCTACCAGACATTTGGTGATGAGAGATCTCTGTCACCAAAATTTTTGCCCAGGAAGCACCAAAAGGAATGGGCCAAAACTGCACCTTGAATAAGGAACAAGAGCACACACATACAGCCAAGCATTAATCAGTCTTAATCAACCAAGCCGGGTATCGAACGTATTTCCTTGGTTTTGGGTTAGCAGTCAATCGATGCAAAACCCTATACTGTTCAGAGAGATTTGTTATTCAAATTTGGTAGATTCATTTTCTTACACTGTAAGCTTTTATGCATTGATTATATTTCGGTTTCTGATTCTTGAATTGTGGCGACATTTTTATAATGTATGGAGTTTAGCATTTCTGTGTTGCTTCAATGCGGAAACGTACATCTGTTATATTTTCCTATCTTTTTATATGACGGATGTCTGTTATGAATCCGAAAATGATATTTTGTTCTCTGATTTGTCTAGGAGATAATTTATCTAGTTCTTCCTCAAATGTGTAAGTTTGTGATCAATCAGTAAATTCATAACTTCTAGATAACATGTATCGAGACTGTTCTACTCATGTGTATGCATACGTCATTCTCTGTCAAAGACAATGTATTTGCGTTGCATATGAAGGATAATAAGGAAAATCTTTCGCAAATAAAATGCAAGGGGGGACTAGCGTTAACCTCAAGTCGTCAGAAACTAGGCTTTGCCATTAGGGTAGTCTTTAAGAGCCAACCTACAACTATTAAACGTAAGTGAAATTTCGGTTGTGCAAAAATTGCTCTGTGATCTTCCTCGGTTCTTTCTATTCATATCACCTCATTATTACATTTTCTTTCTCTCTCTGTCTAGTAATTCATTAAACAGTGCTTTTGTATGTGCCACTTGTACCAAGGAACTCAAAATCCGAAGAAACATCTGAGATCTTTAAATGTTTAGAGTCAATCATAATTTAGGTGACGTCAGACTTCGGATGAAAGAAGTCTCGTACCAACTTAAGAGATTAAATCTCATAGAAGTAACATTTCGGATTCTCCAGATAATGGATTTTGACACATTTATTGTAAGACAAAATGCATTTAGTATCTCAAAATTTTCACGGTGGTTTATTTCGTATGCTACAAGAAGGGACGTGTGTTCATGTAAAATATAACAAGCAAAACAATTCTGGCATTCTAAACCAACATAATATTTTTTTTTTTTACCCTGCCTTTCTGCTTTGTACTCTATTTTTGTTTTTCTGAAAATAATATATCTAGTGTACAAAACAACGATATGTAGCAAAATTTAGAAGCATAAGCTTAGATACGGATATTCAAGCAAGCTGCAAAACCTACCTCAGTTTCCGTTTTTGATATCTATTCTCGGTGAACTGCTATGAAAAAATAAACTCAGTTAGACAATACGGGCGTTTATTTTGCCGTAAACAATTCAACTCATTTAATCTGTTTAGGCAATACGGATTTTCCGAAGAATGCATTCGAATATCCTTGAATGAATTAAATGGTGCAACATTTTGGTATTTAACTTCCTATAATTAATTATTAAGCATATTGAAACTACGGTTTTCTGTTAAATCATTAAGTGATGAAGATAAATGAGATTTAGTAGACCAGCAGATTCTTGGTCTGTCACAACAGGAATTTTCAAAATTCCAAACTGTTGTCGTATTGCAAGCGATGAAGTTTATTGTGGATTATACTGATTTTAGTTATGTGTAGAGTGCTGCGTTTATGTATGGTTTTCAGAATTAAAATAAGTTAACTCTAGTAGTGATAACATTTTGTGATAGCGTGTGTTGCTGAAATATGTTGTATTCTCAAATTAAGCTCATATAAACCGATTATTCCTTAACAAGACGATTTGGACTTCCTATTAGTGAGCCTGTATCATGAGAAAGAAGCCATAAGAATGCTGGTGTTATAAAGGGATATCGGTAATTAAAAATTTTCGTTTGAAACTTCGTCTCAAGCCTAAATTTACTTCTAGTAATTTAGGTCCACAGAAGTGTATTTTGAACTTCTTAGCAAGAATCAGTTGTAAAGAAGCAAGAGATAGTTTTCTTTTAACATCTTATATGGGAATGCACAAAATGCCTCAGCGAAAATCAGCAAGGAATTTTAAGCGTGATTGTAACGGGGGGAAAAAATGCATGTTCCTGAATGTCTAGAATAGGGGTGTATAACTATAGTGAAGGAAAAAGGCCATGACACACGTCAAACAGCTCAGAAATGAGACGGCAGAATATAAAATGAAAACCACTTGGACGTTTAAGCTAAGAGACCCTTCTTTTGCTTTGATACTACAAGATATATGATATCTGTAAGTAAGCATCTTCCGTTAAATAGAACACTATATACTGATAGGTAAATTTCAGACTGATGTCGATTTAGTTTGTATTATCAGATGTCAGGTAATGTATTTCATGTGACTACATAGGACATTTTAGGGAGTGAACGAGAATTTCGAGTGAAAAGTATATTGACATTACATTCAGACATGTTAAGAAGTGCTGCAATTAAATGTTTTTTGATGAAATAGCAGGTGTAAAAAAATTACTGACATGTGATCTTTTTGTGTTTAACAATATTCAGTGATGTGTTAATGAATGGCAAGAAATTTTAGTATACATAGTTGGTTACTCTGTACATTGTTTGAAACATCTTTGTATAATCTGCAGAGAAAATTTATGAAGTCTAGATAACTTATTGATTGAAAGGAAATATTATGATAATCGTCCATTTTCTAAAACAGCAGAAATCAAAGTTAAGTGCAAATATTTAGATACGATAAATAGAGATAATCTTAAGAAACCATCTTCACTGGTATTTAATATTAATTATCCACAGTGATTGCATTTTTAGAACATTTATAATAAAAAAAATATGAATCTCATTCTCAAAAATGCCCAAATCAGCATTTAATACTATTTTCATTTTAAAGAATATATATAATTATATTGCGCAACTTGTCAATGAAATCTGCCAATCTTGTTATTGTGATTTACTTAACATTTTCAAAAAAATGCAAAAATTTTAGTAGATAGTAAATTTTCTGCTTCAAACGAAAACTATTAAAAAATTAAAAGCATTAAGTAATTTAATTATATTAATTGTAAATTGCAGTTTTATTATTTTTCTTATAGTATTCTTAACTCCAAACGCTGCATAATTTGTGCATTTAAAAATCACTGTTATATGTGTTTGTACGTCAAGTCATGGTCACATTATAAATATAAGTGTTTTAATTTAGGTTTTTTTACCAATAAAGTACATCCTTTTTTCATGGCTTAAATTGTGTATATATTTGTGATTCACTAGAAAATTGATAAAGAAAACGAAAGGAGTTCCCTTGTATGATATTTAACGGAGAGCAGGTTTTTAATGCACGTAATGCCCTACTGTATATATAATATATAATGCAAAACTGCGCATTGTGCGAACACGAGTTATTAATTTTAGAAAATCTATTGTTTGAATGTAGTGATCATGATAATCTGTCATTATTCCAGAGAGTACAGATAAGTAACTATGTTGGCATTTGATAGAAAAAGATATTAAGAAACTACTATAAATATGAATGTTTGAATTTATGATCTTCGTTATTATATTTAAATATCGTTTTATTTTCATTGTTTAGTTTGATGTATGTTTGTCATAATAAGGTAACAATAAATTAAAAAAAAAGATTTTAATGAATGTTGTTTAATGAAGAGTAGATTTTAATGCATACAGCGAACTATTGCGTATATTATTCAAAGCTCTTCTTTACAATATGCAAAGAAAAGTTGTTGGTTTTAAAATGTGTATAAAATGATCATGATAATCTACTATTACCCTAAACTATATAAACTAAAAATAAGTACATACATTTATATATGGTCGAAAGAGGTGGTGTCATAAGCATTACTTCTAATTATTATTTTCTTTTTCATTGTATAATATTTGAAAAATTAAATAAATTTTTATTAATTGTAATTTGCAGTACTGTTACTTTTCTTTTAGTATTTATACTTTCAAACACTGCATGATTCTTATATATGAAATACCAATATATGAAATTTAGGTTTTTTTTATTAGATTTAGATATATTTCTTATATGAAATATTTCAATGACATTTATTAACTAATTTATAGTCTTGGAGATATAAATGTTGATGGTTATAATATTTTTTGCTATGAAACGCAAATAAGTTAAGTACTTAAGCTTAGGAAAAATATTGATTATAATCATTGTTAACTTTAAAACCGTTTCCTAATTTTTTTTATGACAGGAGCAATTTTCAAATCTGCGTTTAAAATACTGCAAAACGTTCGTTTGTCTCTCACCGATTCTTATATTTATGCAAAAAGCTAATTAAAATGGCTTTAGAAAGCATAAAATGTTAAAATAATTAAAAAAAAAAAAAAAAAAAAAAAAACCTTCTTTCTATCAGCTTAATTTAATTAGATCAGCTCTGTGGTAAAGTTATATTTCCGACGAAAATTTAAAAGCATTCATTATCAGTTGAATTTCCGATGACAACATTGCACGGAAAGCGCCGCCATGTTTTTCAAGTGTATTGACGTTCTCCCTTCACGAAGGCCACTGTTCAACCAAGGCCATCTTGATTGGATATATCATCATCCCCCATCAAGGCCTCTTGGGGGATCAAGAGGCCCCCATCAAGGCCTCTCATGGAGGTTCCCGTTGCGTGAACGAAGTTCAGGTTTCTATGGGCGCCTGGGTAAGAAACCCTTAATCCCAGTCGAATAAATGGATCTGTTTCCGAACGTTATCGATCGTGAATGGGAGGTTCCATGAGGCCTCTTGATGGGGGGGGGCATATCCCATCAAGAGAGCATGCGGTCCAACCCGCATGCGGCCCAAGTGGTGGGGACGAAGCGAAAAAAAAAAAAAAATGTCAGTATTCCACCCCGATGATATATTTTACTCATGCTATCAGGATTGGAGGCTGGTTTTCGAGAGGGACGAACGGGTTACTTGACGCTCTGAGCTGGAGCGAAATAAAACGTGTTTTCTGTGGAGTGGGGTTCTAAAACTTCTGTTGACATGTGCGCGAAGTGATTATCTTCATTTTCACCCACATACAAATATGCCTCGCTGCACAGTCATGTGTTATTCACATCATCATTATTTGGCAATACATACATTTTTGAACAATTGTTTTCAAGAAGTACGCAAAGAGTAAAATTAAAACCAGAATATCGGATGAACCCGATGAAAACTTCTTGAGAAATGCAACCACTAAAATCGAACAAGATACTGATGCATTAATTTCTCAAATTCAAGGCCAAATATCTCATTAATCTTATGATTTCTTGTTATCTTCATAATTATAAATAAAATATATAATGAAATGTTATGTGTAAAATGCCAAATACAATGTCAAAATAATTCTACGTTGCTGTCCTAATAAAAAAAATTCATAAATTAATAAAATTGTTTAAACATGTTTTTATATTCCTTTTGCTCATCAGCCATCGTTAGTGTTAGGCAGTGTCGGCTCGCCATATGAGTTAAGTGAACCACTAACTCATTTAAAGTTTTTCTATATATGCACTTTCTCATACATAGCAAATTTGAACTAACGGTGGCCAAACACTCACTTTTCTTTCCTAGAGAAGAAATTCAAAAATTTCTTTCAGCAACAAATCTGAGAAAACCCAAAAATTTTCAATGAAACATACGCATTACTATAACTCATTTATTTTGGAAATCTCGAGCTACCACTGGTGTTAGAAATAATTTGTATGGCCTAAAATATCTCGTCTTTTTTCAGTGTGGCCCAGAGAAGCTAAAAGTTTGGACACCTTTGGTTTAGATAACTTAAGAAGCGCTTTAAGCTCTTAGATTATCTCAATTTAATTTCGTAAATACTGAACAATTTTGATTAAAAAAAAAAAAGAGAGAGAGCTTAAATTGTTCTGAATAAAGCTGGCAGATGGTTTCTCCAAATAAATTCATTTACAGCATTAATAATTTGGCTGTAAGACGTAAGATTTTTCAAATGTTTATAATTGATTTAAATATCCAAATCTGCTTTTTAACTTTAAAAAAAAGTTTAAAAAACCTTTTCATTTAAAAAGTATTCGTTGTGAGATCCTTTTATGATGCAGCACATCTTTTACTGTGTAATCCACCTTGGTTTGGTTTAGTTTATTACGACAAAGAACACTAGAGCTATCTGCCTAAGGGAAGAGGTGCTTTCGTGAAAGACTTTTTAAGGAAAACTGGCTCGTATACACGTTACACATGAGGAAAACCACGGAAATGCCCCGTGTAGCCAGCCCATTCGCCTGAATTCGAACCCAAGTCGAAAAGACCAGTATTCACCCTCGCTCGGCCACTCGTAGGTTTGTAATTCAGCTTATTGTTACTCAAGGCAAGGCCAAATGTAACCGTTCAACATTGGTAGTCGACCAGAGTTGAGCTGCCAGCGAAAGAGCTAGCTGCACGGGACTTCTTCATGTATAATGTAAATATGAATCAAATATACCTCCTTTAGGTAGATAGCGAAATCGATTTAACACCAACCATATTCATGCGGAAACGTTAAATGTCATTTTTTCCCCTAGAAAATACATCTTTGCGTCTCTAAAGTACAAAAGGGCCCACCAGCGGCCGAGCGGTAAGGTCGCTGAACACTGGTAGTTCGGTCCGAGGTTCGAATCCCGCGAACGGGCTGGCTGCATGGGCGTTTTCGTGGTTTTCCCCATGTGTAACGTGTATACGAGCCAGTTTCCCTTAGAAAGTCCGCGAACGGGCTGGCTGCATAGGCGTTTTCGTGGTTTTCCCCATGTGTAACGTGTATACGAGCCAGTTTCCCTTAGAAAGTCCTCCACGAAGGCATCCCTCCCCTTAGGCAGATAGACCTCGAGGCTTTGCCGTAATCACACACACACACACTAAAGTACAAAATTACCCCTGCATGAATGTAATGGAAACGGAATTTTGTGAAACTGCGTTCTCAAAGCATGAACTGATATTAAAGAACTTTTTCGCCTACTAAATAGAATTTTTTACTATTTTCTCTTCTGCTTACAGAATAGATATACCTATGTTTAGATATATTATGTCTCCGAAAATGAATCAGTCATTTTGGGACAGTACAAAAAGCAAATTTACTGTAGTGGTTAAGCATGAATAGTTGGAACGAAGGGAAAAAATACAAAAAAAAAAAAAAAAAAAAAAAAAAATATCCATGCAGCCATTGGCATTCGCTTGGAATCAAACTCTGGTCATAGAACAGTATTATCCACTCGCCATCGATGGACTAAGCATATCTCGAGCTCTTTGCAATCAGTGACCCTTGATGGTTAGCCATTGGACTCCAATTACTAAACGCAATATACAGCCGATCTTAAAATTTGTTGAAGTTTGTGTTCAGGCTCAGAAAATATTTTTTTTTTTTCATGTTTTTGCATGTGTATTTACTGTTTATGTAAATTTATTTTTTCAGTTGGAACTTGATTTGATTACTAACTGCTTTGAATTACATTCCTATTTAGGTCCCTGTCGCGAAAATGAGAGGCCTACGCAGTGCGTAATACCTTGCAATACCTGCGCTCAACGAGGCAAATGCTACAACGGATACTGCAATAAGGGATGTGATTGTAAACTAGGCTTCTATAGAAACTATACAGGACACTGCATACCAGGCAGTCAGTGTGATCTTCAAGGTTTGTTATATTTTAGTCTGAGTATACTTAGTCTATAAAAGTTGCATTTATATGTGCGTAGCTCTGATTTTGTTAAACTGCTAATCGATCAGACATGAAAGAACGATAACTAAAAGAATTTATATTTACTCATCTCATCAAATTTCAGAAACATCATTGACATCACTGTCAACCCCCGATTTACCGGGTTAATACTAAAAATGACGTCCACCATTAATTCAAAATCAAGGTTATATTTGAAGGCAGTTAACACAAAAAAGAGGCATAACTCTGTTTATAATTCATTCCCCAAACACTGAATATTAACAATTTGTCCACATTTTCAAGGAGTTTAATTTGAAGAATAAGTTCATTTGGTTATATAAATTAAAACGGTTTAAAAAACACCATAAATACGGGAAAATAGACATCATTAGAAGTGAAAAAGAAACTAATTTATAATGACTACGACATTTGCTATGAGTGTTGTTACTCCACATATTTTTGGTTTTCTTTTTATATTTTCCATAGACAATTTTCTTTAACGCTGATGGTTTGTAACAGTAATCTTTCCATCGTTCTACAACAAATTAACTTAATTCTTTTTAGACAGGTCTCGATTTATCCATCGTAGATTAATATTTAGTTGAGTGCACTGTTATTCGCCAATTAATAATATTCACCTCATATTTAATGGCCTCTCCCCAAATTTAGATTTATATCACCTGCAAGCTTTACAATGTAACATGTAATTAATTACATGTTACACTGGGCTTTATTTATAAGCCATGTGTATAAAGGACTCTAATACCTGTGTAATCGTTAAGGAATACTCACGATCTTCAAGCACTCGATGATAAATTTTATTGAGAAACACCAGTGATACTCGTCACAACCCATATATTAACAAAGCAGAATATAAGTAATATGTTTTTTTCTGAATTTTGTTTTGTAATTTTTGAGTCGTGGTGTATTGCATGCATTACCATAATGAATTTAAAGTCTTCTTTTCCATTTTAGATCCCTTACCCTGTCCCAGAAATGAACATTTTGTGCCTTGCGTGAGTCTATGCAACGACTGCTACTACCGTGGTAACTGTGAAGAAATATTTTGCGAACCTGGCTGCGACTGCAAACCTGGGTATTTTCGAAACGAAAATGATGAATGCGTGCCTGAGAATAGATGTTTTTCTGATGGTTAGCGAATATCGATTTTATTCTTTCTTAATTAACTAGTACATTTTAAAATTTGAACGTGAACTGGAAAGGGCTATAATTTGTAGATAACGTAGACCACAAGTTAATGCAGAAGTTGCTTGAATAAACATGTAGAAGACTAGTTAGAATAAAGTTTCAAGAATATGATTCTTGAGGAAAATAACGTTTTAGCTTAGTAAGTTTTAAGAGACTAATAAAATTACAAAAAAGTTAATAATTAGGCGCTGTAAAAATTTTCTCACAGGTTAATCTACAATCTATATACATTTCGTTTGTTGACTTTCAATTATTTCATCAATGCATTTTCGGAATCTTATGAGAATAATTTGTCTTTAAAATAGTATTTAATGAATTTCAGCAAAGAAAGTTTTCTGTCTTAAAAGATAAAACTGTACACAATTTGACGCATGTGAAAGAGAGTCTCATCGCATACAAAGTCTAGTATGTTCCTAAAGAATTGTGTCATAGAAAAAATTTATAAGGATATAAATAATTTTCTATTTTAAGTATTCATTCTATATTTTTTACAGATGTCATTTGTGGTGATAATGAAGAATATACAGATTGTGTAATTCCTTGCAATGATTGTATAAAAAGGGGTAATTGTCCATATTCGTGTGTTCCCGGTTGCGATTGCAAAATCGGTTACTACAAAAATTCGACAGGAATCTGCATACCTGCATACCAGTGCCCGTTAGGTAAATATTTTTCATAACCTTTTTGAAAACTTTTCCATAAATTCAACAGCCTACAATAAGTCTTTTTATACTATAATTAAATAATTTTAAAAGCGTCAAAACTGAAAGTCTCTTACCTCAAGCTTTTATATTTTCGTACTTTATAGTTTAATATATTTAAATAAAGGACTTAATATCTTAATAATTTATTTTTTTATATTTATAAATTACCAATAAGTATTTACATTTGAAAAATTATGACTGGCATTATTATATTACGTATAGAAAGGATATTGTAGTAAAAAAAAAAAAAAAAAAAAAAAAAAAAACGGTAAGTGAAATTGTTCTATCAGATTGAGCAAATATATATATATTTTTACAACAGTTCCAAGTAAGCAACGCTGCCCGGTAAATGAAGAATACTACAGATGTATGCCCACTTGTAGAAATACCTGTGATACCTATCATGCGCCTGTTGTCCGATGCACAGCGACTTGTCGGTCTGGTTGTTCCTGTAAGCCAGGGCTTGTAAGAAGGAATGATGGGGTGTGTGTTTCACCAGCAGAATGTCCTAAAGGTAATTAATTTCGTATCTTAAGATAAAATGAAAAATAAAACGTGATACCATGATACCAACAGTGAAGTACCGCATAAAACGACAGTTAATAAGTATATCCGCATAAAAATATCTCTGTGCATCTTAAATAGCTTTATATCTCTGAATTATCTTTGTTATGCATACATGGACCAAAAACCTTAATCAAAAGACATAAGACAGAAATCCCTCAAATCAAAATAATGAATAATCTTTGAAGATGTATTTTTTCTCACTTTTAGATTAACGCTCAAAAATCTGCATGCTGACCTGAAAGTGGAACTTATTTCTGATTTTCTGCACAGAATAAATGCTCAATTTTATGATAAAGCTATGCAGAACACGTCCGTCGGCTTTACAAATATTTTCGCTTACGAAATACTTGAAGAAGATAGGAATAATAGGCCATCTGCAGCTTTTCTCTTAGATAGCGCAAACACGCAAGGACAAGATCAACATGTGTAACCTTCGGACTCTAATACATTTTCAAGGAGTTTAATTTGAAGAATAAGTTCATTTGGTTACATAAATTAAAACGGTTTAAAAACACCATAAATACGGAAAAATAAATAATAAACACCATAAATACGGAAAAATAAGTTATCAGTAGTTCATCAGGAGTCACAGGACAGATAGCCCTCAAGTACTTTGTCATACTTAAATAAACCGAACCAAACCCAAACAAACCGATGAGAGTCGTTTCCGTCTGAAAAATTATTCTCAGCGCCAGTTGATATGATGAGACGTCGGACACGTTTTATTCCCACTATCACATCTGGAAAGAGACCGTTTGGTTAGTTCTAGCGGGCTTGCATGGCGAGGCATCATGATCAACGGACGGACAAAGGTCCACATTTTTGACAAAGGTTTCACTTACCGGAGATCGTTACTGTGTGGAAGTTATCCTTCTCCACGTGCGTCTTTTCCGAGATACCATTGGTCCCGACTTAGTTTTTATAGATGACAGTGCCCGGCCACACAAGACTCATGATGTTGAGAAGCTTCTGGAAAGTGAAGATATTCACAGTACGGATTGGTCCTGTTTTAAATCCCAATGAACAGGTATGGGATACTTTAGAGAGACGCCTGACGGCACAATTTTACCTTCCGGAGAACACAAGATATCTGAAATAGATGCTGCTTGAAGAATGGGAACTCTTCCCCAAGAGCTTTTACATAATCTGGTATCGAGTATTGATAGACGGTGCAGCGCAACCCTTGCAGTTAGGGGACATTATATCCCTTACATAGTCCAAAGGGACTTTGTCCCTGAAGGACTATTGTTTTCGTTTTGCGATTTTGCGTTGAATCACTATAAATGTCCGTTTCACTTTTTTCAAAAACTGTTTTTGCCGAATGTTAGAGTCCTGCATTATTTATTTGAAGAAATTAAATAATTGAAAAATCTGCATAAATGTATGTATATTTCTCGCATTGTGATAAAACAACGGTACATAGAGCCATCGAATTTTGAATGACGTAATCCTCCTACGAATATAGGAATGAGGAAGATCAAATTTGAAATTTGGAATTTGTTTTATTATCGATTTCATATTTTGTAAAACTTTAACGAATTTTTGATTAACAAACTGAAGGCTTTCAAAGCGAGCAATGGCAACACTCTACCGGAAAAAAAAAAAAAAAAAAAAAAAAAAAAAAAAAAAAAAAAAAAAAACCTTTTTATCTCCAGCGCGCGGAACTGTGTATCGGAAATTCTAAAGGATATGCTCATTTTAAAGCTATTTTGCGACATTGCTATTGAACTGAATTTTATGGTTTAAGTGCAAAGAACATCATATTTAATAAATGAAAGTAACACACAAAACGTTAAAAAAATCGCCCCTTTGGACCTAATTTAAAATCTGAAAACTTTCAGATTTTTTTTTTTTTTTAACCAACGCCATTCTGTCAATGAAGCCTTTTTCTATTCGTTCCGTACTGTATGCGTCCTATTCATTTTTTGTTACTATACTTTTCTCATCTTTGAAGTATGACAGTCGCCCTCTATAGTATGAATTTCATGTCTCCCAGTTGAGTTTTTGTGGAATTGCAACCAAAATCAGAAAAGATGTTTAAGTTTTGCACACTAGTTTACTTCCAGTTATAAAATTGTTTTAAATGACGCATAGTTTCATATTTTTGTATTTTTTAATTTTAAAAATTAATTTCATATAAAATAATAAATCTAATCTTTTGCATTTTCTCCCTATCTTCATACTATATTTTTGAAAATGTTATACTCATTACCAAATATAAAACATAAAATGTTTGACTCCCGTGCGATAAAATTTTAAAATTTTCGAAATTTTACGTTATTTTAACATGCCTTGAGAGTTCGGTTATTGAATAAATGAAATGATTCGAGGCTTATATCCCCCCCTTAAATGTCATTCAGTGATATCCTTTTGTGATTTACTAGGGTATAACATTCTTCAATAAATAATTTTGTTACAGCTGCCATGTCAATAGAATTTTTATACAAGCTCAGTAAATATTTAACTAATATTGTCATGAAGTTTTATTGCTTTAATTTCAAAATATAATAAGTGTACAAAACTTCCATTAAACAAGCATATTTTTTACTCTTAATTTATGCAATTAATGTTAAGAGCTGGTTTGTGTAAATATTGAAGCTTTTTTATAAAATTCTGTAAATAAAATCTTTTCGGAAAAAATATTAATCAATACCTTTCACGATAATCTGCATAGAAATGCTCATTACTTAATCTGTTAACATGTTCACGCCCGGGCCAATTTTTATGTTCTTCGCCGTGAGGCTGCGCTCGAATTTTTGCCGCGTTTCATCTGGCGGCGCGCGATTATTACCTGTTCAGACCTGTATGCGAGTTGTACGTTTGCTAATAGTATAGTTAGTACTTATTTTGCAAGCTGTGTAACTCTGCGATTTTTTTTCATCTTAACCTCAGATTTCTGCCAATAAGTATAACTAGAAAGGCAGTTAGAAGGTTTTTTTTTTTTTTTTTTTTTTTTTTTTTTTTTTTTTTTTTTTTTTTGTTTTTTTTTTTTTTTTTTTTTTTTTTTTTTTTTTTTTTTTTTTTTTTTTGTTTTTTTTTTTTTTTTGTTTTTTTTTTCTTTTTTTTTTTTTTTTTTTTTTTTTTTGTTTTTTTTTTTTTTTTTTTTTTTTTTTTTTTTTTTTTTTTTTTTTTTTTTTTTTTTTTTTTTTCTTTTTTTTTTTTTTTTTTTTTTTTTTTTGTTTTTTTTTTTTTTTTTTTATTTTTTTTTTTTTTTTTTTTTTTTTTTTTTTTTTTTTTTTTTTTTTTTTTTTTTTTTTTTGTGTTTTTTTTTTTTAAAACAATAGATAATGGAGGCGTCTGATAAGCTATCAGAGAAAAGAAAAATCAAAGAAGGATCAATAGAAAAGAAATCAATAGAAGAAGAAATATCATAGAAGATATCAATAGAAGAAATCGAATACAAAATCGAATACGGAACACCCGGTAACGCGCCGACCGATAAGACAGACTAGTGCGGGCCACCGGTGGTACGCGCCGCCCGATGTGGCCCGCGCCGGCGTGAATGTGTTAATATAAAAAATATTTCTGCCTGGATGTTTTCCTGAACTGGTATTTTATTTTTAGTTAAGTACAAATAAATGTAAACACTTTGCTCTTCAATTTATGTAGGGCCCTGAATATGATGCAGAACTTTAAAACTAAATATCTCAGTCAGTTTCTGTCGCACAGGAATCACACTTTTTACATTGTGCTTTTTATAGCAATAATATATTCCTAAACATAACTATAAAGACAGGGGGGAACGTATAAAAATGTTAGATTTCGTAATTTAAAAAAAAAATGATTTTTTTTTTAATTTTAAAATGCCAAAAGATAAATATTTCTGTCATTTGAAGCATTTTAGTAATTGGATGTAGTATATCTTTACGACCACCGTTTTCGAAATAAAGACCACACACTCTATCTTTTGCCATCACGTGTCTGACACGTGTGCACACGTCTTTTGCAGTGTGCCTTTTATCCGGTGAAGCCTAATCTTTTTACTCGTCTCAAACGTTAGTTCTGATATGAAGACTAACGCTATATCAGGCTACTACTATCACATCTACTTAACATATTACCAGATGTAGCATAAGGTTTATTGCCCCTTTTCAGTATAAAGAATTGTCTTTTGGGTAATGTGAAGCAAAGTTGCAAATTATTTTAAAAGAAATATTTTTGAAATAACGATTAAAAAATTTAATTATTTTTACCGCTACAGTATGCAAAGAAGATGAAGAATACAAAGAGTGTGGAACAGCTTGCCCTTTCAACTGTACCAACTTTGACAAGAAGTTTCTGTGTACACAACAATGCATTAAGGGTTGTTTCTGCAAACCTGGCTATATACGAGGCCCAGAGGGCACTTGTATTATTCCCAGCAACTGTCCTACTGGTAAGTTTTGAAAAGCATTGCGTTAAAAAAGTAAAACACATTTTAAGTTGTACTTTTAAGATTCTGTTTACCTTTTTGAAAAGATTTTAATTTGCATTTTTAGAAGATTTATTGATTTAATTTTTTTTTTTTTTTTTTTTTTTTTTTTTTTTTTTTTTTTTTTTTTTCTTTTTTTTTTTTGTTTTTTTTTTTTTTTTGTTTTTGTTTTTTTTTTTTATTGTTTTTTTTTTTTTTTTTTTTTTTTTTTTTTTTTTTTTTTGTTTTTTTTTTTTTTTTTTTTTTTTTTTTTTTTTTTTTTTTTTTTCTTTTTTTTTTCAGGATCACCCATTTTTCCCTTGATCTTTGATCTCTTGCTACATTTTTTTCACTGTAAATACCTACATTTTCAACTCATTCATGCATTGTTACGAAATAATGCCCTTTACTAAATACAAATTACGATTTGGTTTCGATCGTCTGAGTTTCTGTCTGTACATAAACAACGTTTTTAGAAGCATTTCCTTCGTACTGTGCATGTTTCTAAAATTTTAAGATTAGTTTGCGAGAGAAAATTAATTTTCCAAAATTGTGAGAAGATTTAGTAAATTAATGCTAACTATACTGAAACTGTAAGAGAAGATTGTAATAAATTACAAAACATAGTAACGTGTCTGTCAAAATTGTAATTGCAACAAATGACTTATTGCCTGAAATGTCCGAGACTGTATGATTGACGGACATCTTTCTAATATTAATTTAATAGACAGTACAGGGAGCTGAAAATCCTGTTTTCAGTTTCATGAAAGAGCACTGTTTATTTTCCTTTCTAATTCTCCCTTTCAATCTACACGTGATGCCCCCACGTCAGAACTTGAAGATCTTTACACATTAAATTGTGAAAAATAATATATCACCAACTTGGATTGGTGACTCGACGTTGGCCTTGCACACCCAGTCACATTTAGGTGAACAGAATTTAGGTGATAGGAATGGCTTTTAGGTGACTCGTATTAAGAACTGAAATTGTAAAGACCGCTGGTCATTTCAAACCAAGAACCTAGAAAAATCAACAGTGTCTTAGCTGAAATTAACACAGATCTTCTAATTGCCAGAAAGAAGTGCTAACCACTTACACCGCGAAAATGTGCACAAGAGAATGAGCTAATTCTTTATATCATCCCCACTTAAAGGGTGACCGAGGAGAGACGCAAAACCCAGTCGGCCAAACTGAGGTGGTGACGAATTATGATCAACTTTATTTTAGTTCGGGAGCTACTCTATTAGACATAATTAGGCATTTCGGATAAAGAGGGGAGGAAATAAGAAATATCAGCTGTGTTTCGCTGGGCTTTCAACTACGGATCTTCCAGTTGTCAACTGAACATGTACAACTGCACTTACCCTATAAAAGCAAAACGAGCGAATGCAATAATTCGTTTTAGGAAAAAGAACTAAGACACCCTTCTATGTTGTCCTAAGGTGTAATGGTCAGTACTTCGAAGGTCTTGTAATAGTATTACGTCAACTTTAGTTACTAGCCACTTTGTCAAGAATTACGGCATTTCTCCGAGCGTGTTGATATGGGGTAAGTGTTTAATACATCCAGCTAACTACTGGAAGGTGTGTGGCTTGAAATTTGGACCTGCATTAAAGATGTCTTATAGTACCTACTGAGGCTCTTGATGTAGCCGATGACAACTCGTCGGCACTCAGATTTGATCTACTGGATTTCATGCCTGTCCCAAATTGCCATTTAAGTGGGACAGAGTGTAAAGAATTATAACATCCATTTAGCTATTAGAAGATTCGGATTCCAATCTCGGCGAAGACGCAGCAGAGTTTTGAGAGTTTCGTCATTAAAAATGTCTAATAGCTTGCACAAATCGTTCGAAGACCTTACGTTTCTAATTTATTTTACTTCCACAGTATGAAATATACTACTATTATTAAAAGTTTTACGTTAAATAGACAGAATTAAATTCATTTTATTACATGTACCTCTGTAGAGACATTAGGTATTTTTTGGAAGCAGGCAAGATGAAAAATGAGCAACGTTTTCGCCCTGAATCAAACCACGGACCTCTGGAATACGCGCCCAGCGTGCAGACCACTACACCACGAAGGCCACGCTAAGAAGGAGGGAGAAATACCTTATATACTCTCCCTTTTAAAGGGGGAATGGGGTTTTTAGGGGACCCAGTCGCCAAATCCTGGGTATGGAGATTCATCATCCACCGCCCTTTTTTTTGTTCGGGCGCCACTGTAGAGACATTAGGTAATTTTTGGAAGCAGGCAAGATGAAAAATGAGCAACGCCTTCGCCAGGAATCGAACCACGGACCTCTGGAAATACGCGCCCAGCGTGCAGACCACTACATCGCGAAGGCACGCTAAGAAGGCGGGAGAAATACCTTAAACCTCATATAATCGTGTCTCAGCTAGTGCAGTTTGTTGATAAAAATAACTTACAATGGGGAAATTTACTATATATATATACTAATCATTAAACATGTAGCAAAGCTATTTCTCTTATTTCAACTTTCAGTCCAGTTACTCAGTTTAAACTATTAAGGCAAATTTATATACTGTCCTTCCATAAATCACAGTTGTGCACCATCCGCTGCCAGCGATGAAAAATTGTAGGATGCATTTATTGTTCTATTGACAATTTGAATCGAATGGTCAACTACCTGAAGAATCACCGAGATCTTTCGAAAGTGAATGCTACGAAAGGGCCTTTTTCATCTTTGAATATTTAGGCGTTATTCTTGATCATAAGTTTTGTTGGAAAAATCATATTATGTATTTATTCAATAAGTGTGAAAATATACTTAGAGGACTTAAATCGTGTCTCTTGCAATACTTTTGGTTTAAAAGTTAATGTTATGATATTTTATAAGCAGGGTATTGTCCCCTTTATTTGCTATGCTTCTAGAGTGTGGGGAACAGCTTTAGAAAAGAAGATTAATTCCCGTATACTTCGCAGAATTCAAAGAAGAATTTTACTAAGAGTTGTGCGTGGCTACAGAACAATTAGCTATGAAGCTGTTTCGCAATTATAGGATTTCCTCCGATTGACCTTCATGTTTTGAATGACAAAAAGTTTAAAGATACCATCGGCAAATTTATGTTCGATGCCAAGGTGTTGTTTGAAGATCTTCCTCATCCTGCCAATCGTTTTGCCAATTCAAACTATCATTTATGACAATTCTGTTGATGATAATTTTCCCTGTTGTGTGTTATACAGATGGCAGTAAAATTAATAATCGAGTTGGATTAGCTTATGTCGTTTTCCATAATGGTTCTGAACTGGAATACAACTCTTTTAGAATTCCCAATGAATGCAGTGTTTTCCAAGCCGAATTACTGTGCATTAGTGAGTCCATTAAGTGGATATCTAACAACTGTTCGCTGAGTGCTAAATTTCTTATTCGCACTGATTCTCTTTCATCCTTATTTTTCTCTTAGGAATATCTTCCTCATATAATAAATTAATTGTGACTTCCCATGCTCTTCTTAAAGACCTTAATAATAAAGGTGTTGATGTTATCTTTTCTCATGTACGTGTGCCACACTGGGCAATCTAGGAAATGAACGGGCTGATTGGTTGGCAAAACAAGCTACACATCTTCAAGTAATTACTCCAATGATACTTCCCTAAGTCATTTTACAAGAACAAAGTAGGGATGATACAATACTCGAGTGGAATAAACTATACAGGAATTCTACTACTGCCCTCTTTGACTAAACTATATTTTCCTTCCATTCCTCACAGACTGAATAATAAACACTTTTTCTGCAATTTTTGAAGTTACTCATTTCTAACTGGACATGGTAATTCAATTCCATATCTGAAGAGATTTAGATTATCTAGTACAGACTTGTGTTCATGCAGTTTCGGGGAGTGCAAAATGTCGAACATTTTGTTGTTCTATTGTTCAAAAAGCTCAAGGAAGGACGAAAGGAACTCATTTCTAAGTTAAACTCTGTGAATATTTCATTTTCCTCCCCCTCTTCATGTTTTTGTTGAACATAAAATGGTTTTCCTTTCTCTTTTTTCTGTAAATTTATCTCTTACGTATCATCTGTGAATTTGTAAGTTTATTTTATTTTGTGTTGTGTTGTTGTAGTTTTTTTTTTTTTTTTTTTTTTTTACTTACCTCTGTAAGCCTTGTGTAATACTATGTGGTGCACAAGGATATAAAATTTTCAATAAAAAAAAGTCACAGGTACGGTCTTGTGCTTCCCAAACCTTTCGGTTGAACAAATACAAGTGCAAATCGGGGGGACACGAGAATTTCTCCATTGTTTGCCGCATAAACACTATATCCATGCTGCATAAGTACTATACACTTATAAACATCCATACCTTCTCCAGAATTCGAATCCAGCCCCATCAGCTCAGTCAGTACCTCAGTACCCAGTACCTCAGTCAGCGTCACTAATCACTATGCCGATAGGGAGGGTTATCGATCGAAGAAATCGAGCATAGCTGAATGCGCTCGAGTATTCTCCTGCAAAATGGTGTGGGATTCTACAGAACTTGTGGCCGCCTCTAGCACATTCTTTCTTTAAGCACTTCCGCTGCTACTCTTTCGAAAAATATTGAAATTAATCTTTATTAGACCGTCAGTTAATGCCAATCGATGGAGGAAAGACAGAACTAAACTATGATTTGAATGCCTTGAATCCTGAACAATGTGCGAGGCCTCTCTCTATTGATAAGAGGCCTTACACAAGAGTAATTCGTCACTGCGCAAAGGCACTAGGGAAAGGTAAACTTTATTCGTAGTTTATTTAATGAACTTTTGCTTCTAAGCCATCATTATTGCCAACGATTGAAGTATTTACAAGTAAAATTCAAATGTTCATTTACTTGATAGAATCTGCTCTTTTCAGGAAAAAAAATAGTCCTGGAGAACGTGAATATTCATTGCTTCTCCATGTTTAAAATATTATATAGTATATAAATATTTTAAAGGAAGGGAAGTTTCTGAAGTGTGTTTAAAATGCTTCAACATTCCTACCTCAAGTGATTTCGTTACAATATTCTTCATCTTCGTCATTTCTTTTGCTACCTGCAGATTCATAAGAAATCATCCCTTAATTCTATTACAACTGGATCACTTTTATGGCTTTCAATGCATGAACAAATTTCGCTTTCTAGAAGCATGATCAGAAACATTTTGCAAGGGAGACTTTCAACAGTTTATAATAATTCTTTGCGTATTTGGTCATTGGACCACCAACTATCCACAGAACTTTGCTTCGTGATATTTAGCCAAAATTTCACAAAGCCTTTTTTGAGGGGGTTGTTTATATGTTTCCAAACAATACCGCTAGGAAAATTGCATATTTGGTATTAAACTGAACTAAGAAGCTCTTAATCAGTGTTTAGTAAATTTTGCGTAAACGAAGTCTTAAGTTTAAAGTTTGGAATAACTTCTTGATTGACAGCTTAGATTAATATCCAGCATCTTGTGAATTTCTAAAGTCACGTATTTCCTTTGTGTACCTTTATCGACGTTCTCATTAAGTTTAAAATCATTCTAAGATAAAATAAATCTAATAAAGATGATAAGTTAGGTTATTTAATTACGGCAAAGCCTCGAGGGCTATCTGCTTAAGGGGAGGGATGCCTTCGTGGAGGACTTTCTAAGGGAAACTGGTTCGTATACACGTTACACATGGGGAAAACCACGAAAACACATATGCAGCCAGCCCGTTTGCGGGATTCGAACCTCGGACCGTTAGCCAGATAGCCCTAGTGTGCTTTGCCATAATTAAATTAACCAACCAAGCCAAACGAACCTCGGACCGAACTACCAGTGTTCCGCGACTTTACCGCTCGGCCGCTGGTGGGCCTCTAATAAAAAAGATATAATAAAGATAAAAAAAAAAAAGAACAATACACAAACGCCATGTTTTGAATAAATAAGTAGCTAAAAACTGCACAAAAAGCAACTTCCAAGCTTTTACGAATGTTGCCGAATGAAATGTATTTAATAGCCCCATCTGATCGCAAAAATGTCGGTGAAAAAGGTTGCCAGAGTATCGAGGATATCAAACCATACAATGCCAAAATTATCAGACTTTTACTTTGTATAAGGCAGCATTGCCCGGCTGCGTTGCGTGAAGTTTCTATAACCACAGTGTTGCCACTATTAATTTCCCACTCTCTAAAAAATTAAGTTATTTCTGTAAATGTAATACGATGAACTAGTATTTCATCTCAGTAACATTACATTAAAATTATTTCATTTCAATTTCTTTTTTCTTTACAGTATGTCAAGCAAATGAGGAATACCAAGCATGCGGTACTGCATGTCCTTTCACTTGTGCCAATTTCAAAAAACCATTCGTATGCACTCAACAATGTATTAAAGGTTGTTTCTGCAAGAGTGGTTTTATCAGAGGTCCTAGTGGAAAATGTATAGATCCTGCCTACTGCCCTAAAGGTAAAAGCTTCATGAAAATATATAAAACCAACTAGCTGTCTACTTCTGGTTTAAATTATTATTATTTGATGAAAACAGCGTAAGTTTTACCATGTGCTTTGTGCTGTGAAGAATACCCGAAAACCTAAATTTTCGTTACCTTCCTGAACTGAAATTTATCTCTGTAAAATTATTTTTGATAATTTTATTTCTATAGTCATAATCTTTCAATTGCTTATTAAATTAATCATTTAAAATAGTTGAACTGATAAACAGCACAAATTTTCAGTTGCTTTTGGCACATTAAAAATTTCTAAGCCCGCCAAATTTTAAGAAGTAAATTTTTATTTCTGCTGTTTTTATGACAAATGATCTTTAAAGGTTTCCACTTTACATCAAATTACAATTCACCAATTTAATAATAAAATATTTATTAAAATTATAATTAAAAAATTCGTTTAATTGTAACGTTTAATTTGTTTTATTGCTTAACATTCAGGTTAAATCAGTAGTAATCAACCTTTCTCGCCTCATGCACCTCTTTCGCCATTGCCAGATCCTTCCCACTCCCTTCTTTCCAAAACTCGAAATTCGGCAGTACATATACTAAATTGGAACGATATACATTTACTTTGATTTAGATTATTTTTTAGAGTGTTTCATAAGTTTAATTACGAAAAGTGCAGAAAAAGTTGATAAATACCAAATCTTGAATAAAAGTAGCTTTTTATATTCAGAAATTAAAAACTGAGTACTTAACAGTTAAATAAAAGACTGACAGCATTCCTCTCCCCTCAAATTCTAAAATCCCCCCCCAGTTGAGAAACCCTCATTTAAATTCAACCTATATTTAATCTTTCATCAAACGTCTTCATAAATTCAACTCCTCAGATGTCTTCATGTTAAGCCCGGATGCTCTCAGCCTTCAGATAAACCAGTGAAAGATCTCCAGTCCTCTGGTTGCGGCTAAACAGTTGTGAGCCCACAGTCGCCGAGAGAGCTGAGCCAGTAAAGTTCGTCCAGGGTTTAAGCTGGCTTGCATAGAATTTTTTTCATAACTTGCATGAATACAATCCAGTTCCTCTCAGTCAGTCAGGTTGCTTTCAAGTGCTTTGCCATAATTAAGTAACCTGAATAAACCTTGAGAAAGAAATCAAATGCCTTTGAATAGTTCTGAGAAATTTTATCTTAAACATATTTATTACCTCCATATCCTGTTAAGGGACATTATTTTCTTAATATGAATAACGAAATATAAAAATACATTTATAAGTTTTTAAGCATGCATAATTATACAGTTTACATAAAATAAATTGCCAAAATAAAGACCTTCACCTGTCTTTTATTTTCGCAACTGTTGGTAGTAGACATATACTTCCAGATGCCAAAAATTTAACGTACTTTAACCTTCGAATTCTTTTTAACTATCTAGTTTATTGAAGTTTTGTATACTTGATATTTTTGTATACTCACTTTTATTAATTACTGTTTTACTTTCCATTCCAGATATTAAAATAATTTAAATAAAACAAAAAATCCCTTTGGTCACAGAATAAAATAGTAATATAAATCGCTCGCAGCATTGTGGCTAGAAATATCACTGATTTTAGATGTTTGTTTTTCTAAATTAGAAAAATAAGGTATAATTAAAATGACCAACTTTAAAAACAATCGCATTAGATTTTTTTTAAATAATATTTTTCGTTCTTGAGACCATAAAATAAACTCTTTTTAACATAAAATTAAAGGTAGCTTTGAAAATTAAAGGTAGCTTTATTTATTCGAGAAGCATAAGATCTGGTCATTTTATACTCACATAGAGTTTATAAAATTGTTCAAATTGTCTTAAAGTTCTGAGTAATGGTTTCAGAGAAATGATACTCGCAATAGGGAAAATTATAGTTCTGAGAAATTTTATCTTAAACATATTTATTACCTCCATGTCCTGTAAAGGGATATTATTTTCTTAATATGAATAACGAAATATAAAAATACATTTAGAAGTTTTTAAGCATGCATAATTATACAGTTTACATAAAATAAATTGCCAAAATAAAGACTTTCACCTGTCTTTATTTTCGCAACTGTTGGTAGTAGACATATACTTCCAGATGCCAAAATGTTTTAAATAATGCAAAGATTCACGTTTGGGCATTTTTAAGTTTAAAATATCAATTTTAGAAAATTATGAAATTCAACTTTTCATACGGTCCTCCGGTCTCTGTACTTATCTTTGGAAAATCTTTATAATCATTATAAAAAATAAAACACAAAATGTTCAACTTCCGTATGACAAAAATTGTTGAGATATTTAAGTTCAAAATTTGGGATATCTGACTTCATTTCCAACTAACCTTAGGGAACCGATTAACAAATTAATCAAAATAATTCGAAGTTGGGTTCTCCGCTTAAAAGCCATTTGGTGATAATCTTTGTAATTTACTAGTGTGAAACATTCTTTAATCTTGTTACAACTGGTATGCCGAAAAAATTTTCGCATAAGTGATTGCGAAAGTTATATATGCGAAGTTGAATATATTTTATTAATGTTCTCATGAGGTTTAATTACTTCAGGAGCTTTATCTAATAGTCATACTAAAATTTCATAAGCTAGAAATGTTTTTAATTTTTATTTCATGCGAATAATGTTAACAGTTAGTTGTGTGCCAATACAGAAGCCTATAGATGTTTTTTCTACAATACCAACTTTATGTTTCTGTGACTGAGATCTGTTGTTTGGGGGGGGGGAGGAGTTTTATTTTTTAACATTTTCGCTGTCATGCGAATAATGTTAAGAGTTAGCTGTGTGCCAATACAGAAGCCTATAGATGTTTTTTCTGCAATACCAACTTTATGTTTCTGTGACTGAGATCTGTTTTTTTTTTGGGGGGGGGGGGGAGGATTTTTTATTTTTTAACATTTTCGCTGCAGTCTGCACAGAATTGCTCGTCACTTAATCTATTCACATCAGACTCAGTTTTCTAAACTGATACTCTAATTTTAGTTGCGCACAAGTGCAAGTCTTTCATTCTTCAATTTGTGTATGGCCCCTGAATATGATCAGCAACTTCAAAATATAGTATCTCTGTCAATTTTTGTCGTACGGGAGTCAAACTTTTTATATTTTTATATAGTATAAAATTTACTTATATAAGTAAGTATAACCCTGCGAATGTATAAAGTTAGATTTTGGTAATTTTTAAAAAATTGGTCTTTTTAATTTAGAAATTCCAAAATTGGAATATTTGCTTCATTTGAAACATTTTTGTAACCGGGAGTATACGTCTATGAAAATGGTTGTGAAATAAGGTGGTAAGGACTTTAGCAGGACCACCCGTACGTTATTGTAATTTTGACTAATGCAACCGCTATTTATTTTATTTATTTTGATTTTAAGTTTGTATTGCTCGAGTTGCATTTCTTTTTTGTACACTAAGGTGTTTCTCTGCGGACGCGTCGGGAAAAAGAACAGAGAATTGAAGCTCAAAATATTTTCGGGACAATTCTATTTTTAAAAATTTTTTTTTCATCAAACAAAGCTTCAAGGTTCTGTTTCGGCGAAACGCGTATGGTATTTGGCCCTAATTCGACATTCAACCATTTTTCCCTTATTGTTTCCATTGGCTAATTTACCATTCCGCGTTGTAATTATTGTAATTTTTGTAATTTTCAATTTATGTTTCAATTAATTTTATTTTTTTTTACTTTTCCGTCATCTATTTTTTTATATTTATTACTTTCACGTGCACAACGGTCAGATTAGTTTTTTTCGTGCATTCACATGTTTTCTCCAACATTATTTTAACGTTTTTATTCGCTTGTAGGCAGTTTTTTCTTTTTTTCCATGTTAATAATTTTTTTTAAAATTTCTTCTATGTTATATTTTAGTAATCCTGCGTGAACTGTTCGTGGGCTACAGCTCTGGTACTTTTTAGCAGCTCGCTACAATTTTTCCTAGCTATTATTTCATATGTTTCACATTTTGCGCAAAAAATTTTTAAGACCAATAGGTCTTACGTTTCATTTTTTAGCTTTCAATTTCTGTTTCGATAATATATTATATATGTAAGATATTAAAAATATTATAGCTGTTTCAAAAAAATAATTGGCGACCTCAAAATTAACATTTTTATATGCAAATTATTTTGAAACAACTTATCTAATGTAAGATTTTTACGTACCTGTTTTCCAAACTGATAAACTTGATAATAATAAAAATTCAATTGTAATTTAAACAATGAAACGCAGGGTGAAGATAGTATTAAATAATTCATATTTTAATTTACCACATTAAAATATTATATCATTAGTGAGTTTATCTATTGTACATATTTTAATAATTTTTTCTACAGGAATCTGACTAGATAGAGAAAATAACTTATTATTATATTTATCTTTGATTTCTTGAAAATTTTTATCAATACTCTTAGAAATATTATAAGGTAAAATGTTTACGTGAGAACCGGTGTCGATAACGGCTGAAACAGTTTGTTGTCCTATTCGGACATTAACTTTAAAATAAGATCGTTTCTTTTCTACACGTTTAGGCATTGTATTACAATAATTTAAAGACGGACTTTGTTGATAACTAAGCGGCCTGTAGGGATATCGAATAGGCCGTGAATGTGCTTGTTGATAACTAAAAGGCCTGTACGGAAATTGAGAAGGTCGAGATCTCACACTTCTAAAATTTTGATTTTGATTCGGTTGAAATTGATTAGTTTACGTCGGATTAATAAATCGGTAGTCACTTCTTGAATTTTCTAATCCATCCAGCGGCACTGACACTGGGAACAATTTTCTCGCGATGTCTATCCACGGTTTTGATGTATTTATTTTCTGGACGGTGAGCAGCATCATCTGAGCTTCCGGTAATCCTTGGTTAAGTGCCTCAACCATTGTGGAATCGTTTAGTTTCAACGTAGATCCAAATTTTAATTTTAATTGTTACGAAACTACAGGTCAATATTGTTAAATTTATCGTAAGTAATAGACACAAAATCATTAAAAGTCACTGTCTCTACACTGGAAAAGTACGTCTGGAAATTCTCTTTCACTACTTCCCAAACTTTTTCTAAGCAGTCTCTTAAGTAAAATGCTTTGGATCCGTTAAAAATTGGAAATTGAAATTTTGCAGCATCAGTTGTAACTGTTGATTCTGTATTTGTTGCCATTTTACTTTTAAATCTTGTATTCATATAATTTTGAATATGAAATAAATACTAAAAAATTTTTCACATTACACTTGAAAAACGCATAATTTCGGAGCCGAGGTAAAACAGCAAAGCACAGGAGAGCAGATGTCGACGCACTGACCTTGAACCACTTTTGCAGTAGACGTTGAAAACTAGATGAAGCGCATTAAATAATCCACAGGAGCTTTTTCCCACACAGAATAACGTCCTGTCGACTAAATAAATAACTGTGATATTTCGGCATCAAAGTTCAGGCATGGTTTGCCGAAATATCAAATATATAATAATAAATATATTAAAAAAATATTTCTACACAACGTTCTTTAAAAATCTTGCCTACATAATCATCATAATTTTAATTGAGACAGTACAATAACACCTGCTGAAATTTTCAAGCGCTTTCAACTTTAATTACAGTTCTAAAATTTCATATGTCAGAAGCACAATAATTGGCCAATTTCTTTAAATTATAATCAGGCATTTAAGGGAGATCATGCATGCAAGAAGGAAAATCATATTTTTAATCCAAGGGGTTTGTCCCTAAAGGACTATTGTTTCGTTTGAGATTTGCGTTGAAAACTTTGAAAGGCTGTCACTTTTCAATCGTTTGCCACCAAATCTACGCCCTGTATTTATTTGAAGAAATTAATATGAAGAAATCTGCACAAATTATTTTGTTTCTCGCTTGTTATAAACAACATTACTAACGTCCCAATTTTGCAGGACGTAATCCTTCTGCGAATATGGCATGAAAGCCCATTTGAAATTTGGTATTTGTTTTTTATTATCGATTTCATACTTTGTAACATTTGTTTATTTTTTTATTAACAGCTCAATGATTTAAAGGCGAGCAATGGCAACACTACACGAGGGGGGGGAACATTTTTATCTCCAGCTGGCGGAACTGTTTATCGGAAATTCTAAAGATATGCTCATTTTAAAATTATTTGCGACATTGCCGTTGAACTGAATTTTATGGTTTAAGTGCAAAGGACATGATATTTAATAAATAAAGGTAACATACAAAACGTTAAAAAAACGCCTCTTTGGACGTAATTTAAAATCTGAAACCTTTAAGATATTTTGTGTTGAAATTATAATTGAAAAATGAACCTTGAAGAAATACCTTGAAATTTTGTAAGCACATTACGTCAATGATATTTAGTTTTACGGATTTTATATTTAAATAGCTAATGTTAGTAGAGTTATAAATTAAATTGTTTTATTCCCCGTGCAGTGCAGCACGTGACTAATAGTAATAGAAAGTTACCCGGCAAATTTTTAAATACAGTGCGCGTGCATTTAACATTAATAGATAAATATCTCTTTTTGATTTCGAGAAATTGCAGAACAATCTCGTGGCGAGTTTAAAAAGCTTATATAAAGGAGTGAAACCTCTCAATCAGTAGTTATTTTAGGAGTTTTGGTTATAAAACGCTGATGTTTACTATAGCAAATTCGCGGTGAAATCGGACTAGCTTTCTCTATTTTGACTTTGTTCTCATAACGTTTTAGTTAGAGTTTAAAAGATAACTCCTGGAGATATTGGGATGTTGTACGAATATTAAGGAAATTTAAGCATTTTGTTTTATTTGTTGTGATAATAATAAATTTTATTCATTTTTCTTCGGACTTGTGCATTCAATTCATAACGAACCCATACGCACACAACAATATATGTATCATTGAAGGCTGTACTTGTGTGTAAGATAAAAATATGAAAAACTTATGTGTGAAAATGAATGAACATCCGACTTATGTGTAAGATAAGAAATACGAAAACAAACTTCTAATTTTAATTGTCTATAACCTTTTTTTATTTAATTTGGGGGACTTCCTCTCTGTATCTTAAAAATAGCGCTATAAGTCTAAACTGCATCATTCCAATTAATCATGAGATTCTACGGAACGCTTAATGCAGATACCTCTTGCCCAATCAAATAATTGTAAAGCAAAACTTTTTTTTAACTCAAACTGTGATTCTTTTATTTTATGTTATTATGTAACGTGGAAAGATCTCGAATTTGGGAGAACAGATGAATTTAGGGGGGGGGAGAACATAAAATCTAGAATAGTTAATTTCAATCGCCAATCATTCTTAAGGCAGCCATCGTATTTTGTTATATCTTATATATGAAGCTAGGGAAAGGAATGGCGTAGTTGTTTTGCAAAGAGTATTTATACTAAGTAGATGCAGAAAGTACTCGAAATTGTGATTGATAAATTTTAGGTTGTTATGTAACATGAAAAGATCTCAAATTTGGGAGAATAGATAAATTTAAGGAGGTTAACATAAAATCTATTATGGTTAATTTTGAGGTCTCCAATCATTCTTAAAGCAGCCATCGTTTTTTGTTTTATCTTACATACATATATATATGCATAGATAGATATTCTAATAAGCTAACTTTTCAACTTTTCTATCACGCATATCTATCTTTTTCTATACGCAAGGTTTTAATGTGTAAGTCAGTAAATTTAATATGAAGAAATTTACTGCAACACAAATAAGCCTAACCCTTTAAATGGCAAAAGCTTATAATTATTTTTTACCATAGCTTTGTTTATGGAGCAAATTTTTGCATGGGTATATTTTAAAATGTTTGTAAGAAACAGAACTTTAATATAAATAAAAGTATATTTCGATTTTATTTTAATTATCCGACCTCCTTAAATATTTGTCATATGCATCTCAGTAACAAACGAAATAATCGCACATCTTTTCTGTTTCTTTAAATTTGAAAAATATTACAGTTAGTTTTAGAATCGATAAGTATAAATGCTACTGAGACAGTAATCTCACAAAGAACAATATTGCCTGCGAATTATAGTTAGAAAAATGTCTTTTATAACCCCCTTCCCCCAAAACACAAATGCTTTCAGATTATCAACTGTAATATAATTGATTACAAATACGAGTATTTTATTTTTACGTTTTAAACTTCAGTCTTTCCAAATACAATTAAGACTGAATATATTGCATTGTAGAGTCATTAGGATTTTTGAAGCAAGAAACGCGAAAAATGAGCAATGCCCTCGCCGTTTCTCGAACCTGGATTTCTCGAATATGCGCGGAGTGTGCTACCGTTACACCACGAAGGCATCCAGAAAGAAGAAAGAAAATACTTTATATACTCCCCCTTTTAAAGGGCCACTGGGGATTAGGGAACCCATTCGCCAAATTTTGGTGGTGAAGAATCTTCATCCATCACCTTTTTTCTTAGTTCGGGCGTCACTATAAAGTTCTTAGGATTTCTGAAGTAGGTGTTGGTGTATGGTGTATTTAATTATGGCAAAGCACACGAGGGCTATCTGCCTAAGGGGAGGGATGCCTTTCGTGGAGGACTTTCTAAGGGAAACTGGCTCGTATACACGTTACACATGGGGAAAACCACGAAAACGCCCATGCAGCCAGCCCGTTCGCGGGATTCGAACCTCGGACCGAACTACCAGTGTTCAGCGACTTTACCGCTCGGCCGCTGGTGGGCTTCTGAAGTAGGAAACATAAAAAATGAGCAATACCCTCGACGGGACTTGAACCCGAACTTCTCGAATACGCGCCGAGTGTGAACCACAAAGGCATGCAGAAAGGAGGGAGAAAATACATTATAGCATTATATTCAGGCCTGATCAGACCTCAGCAATTTAGATTGACAGACTGATATCTTTAGCCGTAAAATGACATCCTTGATATAATAGTATTGTTAGTCAAATAAATCTACAACAATTATAGTTGTTTTTTTCTTTTTTCGTAACTGGTTATTAGCTTTGAAACGTTCTTTGCAATGGCGTTTAGGAACGCAGGTAAGGAGATATTCGTTGTCATGGTTAAATGATAAGTATATGAGAATACTCGGACGGGAGGGGGACTATTAAATTTTACTTCATTTGATTTTAGAGACTTGTAGAAGTGGTAAATTAAATAAAACTTAGCACCTGTTTTATGTTTCGTATTCCCTTTATCTTTCGATGTATGAAACAACACCTCTGTCTAATCTTACGCCAATTCTTCCTTGTTTTCTTTCGTTCTCACTTTTGATTTTCCCTTTCGAAGCGGAAATATCGCTAATCACTTTTCTTAAATGTCTCATTCCAGTTCATGCTTGCATTACATTAATTGTTCTTGCAGAGTGCAAAGAAAATGAAGAATATACTGAATGTGGTTCTGCGTGTCCTCCCACTTGCTCGAATCAAACTACTACTTGTTCTCAACAATGTATCAAAGGTTGCTTTTGTAAACCTGGCTACGTCAGAAATCCTGATGGACAGTGCATATTGCCCAGATTTTGTCCTGTGGGTAAGATTTTTATAATATTTAAACAAAAGTGAGAGGAAGGAATAGAAATATAAAGCTGCAGTTTCTACATTTAAATTTCTACTGATTCAATTTAGTTTAAAAAGTATATTTTACAGAATTCTAAAACGTAATAGTGGTCACAGACACAGAAGATGTTTCTTAAAGTACTACTGACTTACTCGTGGTTTAAGAAGTCAAATGTGGCAATTTTCGTTTAGAACTCAATTGAAACAGGCTGAAGTCAATAACTAAACATATTTTAGATAAATTTTAATTATATCTAAGCGCCAGTTTTCTACCGGCTCGCAAGATGACGGGATTCATAGAACTTATTATAAGTAACGGAAAAAAAAAAAAAAAAAAAAAAAAAAAAACACCTCTTTTATTAAAAGTTTTCAACGTACTTGAAAATAGAGAAAGTTTTATTTTAATTGCGAGATCACAAATCCTGTGACTTATCTCACTTGTCTGACAGCAACATCAAAATAATCCCACAAATTAATCCTGCTATTTGGAGTGCCCTCATGCCGAACAGACACTATACCTTCCATGTTTTCCTTGGATTCGAACCCGGGCCCTTCGGTATCGAAGTAGGCTCCGCTAGCCACAATATCGTCTGGGCGGCCCACAAAACGTTTTTCTGAATTACAACATAAATTACAAAATTAGAAACTTCCTGTTTCCTCTAATGCTAGTTAAATTTGGCAGATAAAAATCATATTCATATTTTTTTCATAATAAGTCATTTAGGGAATATACTAGATTTTTCAGTCATGAATAAGTGGTACATCCTAAAAGTAGCTGTTTATTTAACCTCTCCTTATGTTGTAATATAAACATTTTTGATTAAGTAAACTAAGAGGTAAATTCTTTTCTTTTCCCCTTAGTTAACTTACCTTAGTTATCTTTAGAGGTTTGTTATTAAATAAGCAAACTAAAAGGTACTAAATGTCAATTTAAATTTTACAAATCTCCTCAGAATGCAAAGCCAATGAAGATTATAGACAGTGTGGTTCTACATGTCCCCCTACCTGTGATACATACCGTAATCCTATTGCTTGTATCGAGAAGTGTGTTCAAGGCTGTTTCTGTAAAGCTGGCTTTGTAAGAGATCCACATGGAAATTGTGTATTGCCGAGCAACTGCCCTATAGGTAAGCATTAACATATGATTTTGAGATAAACAAATTTTAAGCGAAGTTTCAAAATAAACGCAAATAATGAATAATAATAATATTGTTAGTATATTTCTGAGAAAAAAAGGAATTATATAGATATAAGAAAATCAGAATGTGGGATTCCGATAAGATCACCGAATTATATTGTGAATCAGGATAATTTATACACCACTGATATAGAGCAGAGGTTCTCAGCAGGGAGGGGGGAATTTGATAGTTTCAAGGAGAAACTCGGTCAGCATTTTGCTTCGCTATTAATTTTTTAGAATATGAAATTAGAAAATTACAGGGTGGTCATAAAAAAAAACTTCTCCCATACATGAATCCATAGCAGTCCATCAAAATGAAATTCAGATATTGTTATTTGAAAGTATGCGCTGAAGATTGTGATGATTTAAAACAATACAGCTTTCACGATTACCGTTACAGTGAAAAGATTTCGAAAAGCAACACCCACTTTTTTCTGAGCAAACTTATAAATGCAATAAAATGCCATGGAACGATACGCGTATGACAAAAAATTGCCGGTGTAAAATATTTGCAAAAAAAGAGCATTGTAAAGGACCAATGACAACAGTAGAGAAGAAAATGGGAACAAAACTTTTATTGGAATTACAAATTTTTCAGCGTGTACAGCACTTCAAAGTACAGTAATCTCCCGTATCTTTGCAGGTTTTGGGCCACCACAACCCCCTACCTCACTCCGATGGATTTCTAATGCTGGGGTTATCTGAAATCTAAAATGTACGCATCAGATCCACGGGATTAGTCATTATAAGGTGCCATAAAACGTGAAGTTATACAGATTCCTCCTGCGATGTTACGTTAGTCATTGTTGTTAGCAGTCTCCCGCATGCAATGAGTTATCATCTGAGAAAGTGGGCACGTTAAAAGTTTGTAATTCCAATAAAAAGGATTTCCCCTCTTTTTTCTTATGTTGTCACTGGTCCTTTATAATGCTTTTCTTTGCAAATGTTTTACACCGGCAATTTTCGTCTCACTTGTATCGTTTCAACGCCGTTTATCGTTTTTCGATGCTCTGATCCGTTAGCTCATGTAAAAAGTGGTGTTGAATTTCGAAAATTGCGAAATGTTTTAACTGTAACCGTAACCGTGAGAGCTCGGTTGTTTTAAATCATCATAACATCGAACGCATATCTTCAAATTCAATCTGTTATTTGGTTTTGGTTGGCTGAACGGATATTCCACTAGGAGTTCTCATGTATGTTAAGTGTTTTTTATGACCACCCTGTACTTTTATTCAGGCTTTGGTATTTATCAACATTTTCTGCACTTTTTGTTGTTTAATTTATAAAATATATTTAAAAAATATATATCTAAATAAATGTATGTAAAATTTTTCAAGTTTAAGAAAGGAGGGGGCGGCGGATGATCTTCTAGTGATATACTGAAAGGAGAGCATTGGGCAGAAAGGTTTCAGAGCCACTGATACAGAGACTTAATAGTTTTGATGAAAAATTAACGTGCAATGGAATTCGCCCTTCCCTTAAACGGCTTTGGAAAGTATGAATATTCTAGTAGCAATGTAATTGATTATTCTAACTTTACTACTCCGTTTTCCATTACTTGGTAGCAAAACCAAGCTCAATATATCAGTTTGCTTCTGATAACTAATAAGAACTGAGCTGTAAATAAAGTAAAAAATCCATATTTAATTGAAACTATTTAATATACCCTGCTACCGTTAAAATTGCACCATCTTGAATAAAAGCGTAACAAATCTGAAATCTGCATGATAGGTAGTGAGGCCTACACTTATGGTTAAACATTATCATTAGCAACCTACCTGATGTAAATATAATTTGTTTTCTTTCTAGATGAAATATAATAAAATTCTTATGCATGTGAAAAATTTTTTAGTATCCTTAACACATACATTTATAACTGTTGTCACTTATTTACAACAGTGTGCAATGAAAATGAAGAATACCATGAGTGTGGTAGTGCCTGCCCACGAACATGCAACAACACTTTGGAGCTAACTAAATGTCAAGAGCGCTGCGTGAAGGGCTGTTTCTGCAAACCTAGTTATGTCAGAGGACCACAAGGAAGCTGTATATTGCCTAGCTCCTGTCCAATGAGTAAGCATTCAGGCGTCCTAAAATATTATGACTCATATTCTTGTACGTTTCATTTTCTCAAAAGCGATTACTAAGCATTCCTTCCCCCTCCAAAATCCACTGGTGTGTTACTTCTTCCACTGTTTTCACTAGCTTTTAGTTATACTCTTTTGCCTTCTGAAAATAATTCGACCTTATATCTTCAGATATTACATTCCCTTTATAATCTAAGATATTAGTAATGTCATTCTCGTAGGTAATGCATATATGGAACAGCCAGTATTCTAATTTCCTCAGTGGAGATGTTAGGAATAAAATACTACATAAGTTCCAAGGGATGGGTAAAGACTCCAGTTAATTTTGGCTTATAGAAGAAAGTAATGACAACTCTCTATGAAATCTTTCGCGAGAGGGATTTCAGTGCGAAATTTTCATCCATTAAGATGAATTAGATCACCTATCCAGAAACTAAGTATATCGTACTAATAGCTGATCCTATTACTTAAATCTAAATATTCATGATATGAGAAGTCTGGGATTCGAAGCGATTGTTAATAGGATGATAAAATATCTCCCTCTCAAAATAATATTCGAGATCCCAAAAATTATTATTTTGATCCTCATTTGCAGAGTGATAAAAAATTGGGCACGTAAAATTTTCAAAAAACGGGAAAACTCCACAATGGATATTAATGGCAAACTGTTTCAGTGGATGACACCTCTATGCTGTTACCAGTAATACATCACTTGAAATTTCAAATTCCATTTTATGTTATTAGCTAATGACCATTTCTCTGCTGGAATTAGGAAAGGAGTTTTATGGAGTAGAATGCATTTTTATGATTGAGCGTTACTTCCCAACGCATTTTTAACGAAGAGATGTTGAAACTTTTAAAGGCACTTTTCCTAACGTTAGGGAACCTAACAAAATGATTTCCAACTAGGTAACCTGATTTCGAGAAAGTTTAACCGTTCATCATAAGAAACGAAGTAGCCACCCGTCTCTCCTGAGTTTGAAAAAAACAGATGAAGTCAGGAACAAAACGTTGCAGTATTTGCAATCACCAACAAAGAGGGTGACAGGGATGGCATCGCAATCAAAATTATGCGTTCTCAGTCATAACAATTAATTCTGTTTGGGGAAACTCATCTCCGTTTTGCACCAAACAAGGCGTTTTTTAAATTAACAGTATAAATTGCAAATGAAATTTTGAAATTTCAAGGGGCATATTGCTTACAACAGTATAGAGTTATCATACACTGAAACACTTTGCCATTAATATCCAGTCTTGAACTTCCACATTTTTTGAAATTTTAACATGCACGGCTTGTGGATCACCCTGTATAAGTGACCTTAATCGTCTCCTGACCCTTAATCGTCTGCGAAGCTACGCCTAGTATTAAAGCATTCAGCAGCAATTTGGCTTTCAGAAAGATTTTCCATATCACGTCGGCAACACCAAGTGGCTGAATTTATCTCTTCTGGATCATTTGAAAAGTAATCAACGGCTAAGCTGAGTTTAGCAGCAGATATTCTTAACTCTTAGGTCTTCAGAACAGAAACATCACAGATCAACCATGCCCTCATCTCAGACCGAACCACAGATCTTCCATTTGCCAGCTGGATGGTGTTGTTATGACTTATCTCACTTGTCTGATAATACAATCAGATCAAGTTCACGAATTTTATCGAGGCGAGAAGTGCAGGATTACGTCTGTCGTTAGCATGGTCCTTGGGTATATTCTGATGGTATGCTTCAATTCCAGTTTTGAAGATATCTCCCATTTTTTCCCCTTACCATTAAACTCGTATGAGGGGTCTTTCAGCTCGCCATGTGCACTGCCCTCCAAAAGTTAAGGAACAGCATGTTTTTCAAAGCTCATTATTACAAAAATGTCACTAACATTTAAATTCACAGTTTACATGCATGATGGTAAACGAAGTTTAAGAAAATATATGCAAAAACAATAGCTTCAACTTTTATTTTATAGAAATGAATACTTATATAGGAGTTTGAGTAAATAAATGCAAAAATTGCAAGTTTTGTTCACGAGATCGCATGGATGGAAATGGCGATGTCACAAGATGCTGCTGCTAGACGTCTCAATGTCTCTCGTAGTGTGGCCTCCCCCTACTATGGAATCACATTCAGTCCGAGGGTTCTGTGTCTAGGAAACATGTTCTAGGCAAACCAAGAATTACAACACCTGCAGGAGACCGTTATTTAGCTATTTCGCTCGAAGCAGAAGCAACATTACTGTGCCTCAGCTTATGGCACATGATTTAGTGGCAACTGGAACAAGAATCTCAGTTGCTATAGTACGCGGACGCCTGCACAATACAGGTGTGTATGCTAGATGATAAGATGTTTGTGTCCTCTTAACCCGAGGACACAAAGGTGCACATTTATGTTGGGCAGGAGAACACGTCCCTTGGACCAGTTAACAACTGGCGTCTGTTCTCTTCACAGACGAGTCCAGGATCACCTTGGAGAATGATTCAGGTCTGGAGGAAATAACGCACCAGTTACAAATCCCACACTGTGGAAAGACACAGTTTTAGAGGTGATGGAGATCTCTCTCCTCAGTGATCACACTGACCTGCATGTTTTCCATAACCTGCACGCTTCATCAGTATGTCCGTCCATAAGCCACTGCTACTGGTCCTGGGTTTCTTTTGATGGACGACAATGTGCAACCGCACGGAACACGAGTTGCTGAAGAATATCTTGAGAGTCACGGTATGGAGCGGGATGGAATCGTCATCTCAAATCCCAGATCTAAATCCGATAGAGCATCCTTGGGTCTACCGTGGTAAGACAGCTTGCTGCTTTAAGTCCTCCTGCAAGGTTGTTAGATGAGCTTGATGGAGAATTACTCCGTGTCACGTCATTGCTTCTCATTTCACTGACCGACAATTTAATTGACAGCTTGGAACATTGCTGCCTCCAATATACTGTAGCTAGGGGTGGGCACGTTCCTTATTAGAATCCATTTTTGTAATGTTACCACCACATTTTTCCTCAAAAAACTGTGATGTAATGTTTGTTCAAAACTCGTTTCTATGACAAAAGTGCAATATTTTGTTCTAATTTATGTTTGTGTTGAACTTTAGAAACATTTTATGTCACACTCATTAAAAAACTGTTTAGTGAACATGCCATCTAAAATTCTTGTTTTTATGTTGCTTCATTCTCAAATTAGACACAGAAAACATACTGTTCCTTAACTTTTGGAGGAAAGTGTATTTTTAAGTGTATCCATGCCGCAAACACACTATGCACATACAAACATCCAAGCTACTCCGGCATTCCAACTCGGGTTCAGCAATACGGCAACCAGCAACGCTGTCCACTATACTAATTAGACAGACAGCTACTGTGTACTAGAACGACACGCACCTTAATTCCTTTAAACATTGTTGACATAATCAGTTCCTCTCAGATCGATTGGCATTTTGTCATTCAAACTGCATCAAAGTACTCAAGTGCTCACTTCGAGAATAAAGCATTCCCAAAACACGAATCATTACCAGTTTCAAGAACAACTTCTCCTCTTTCAGTGGAGATTCTTTCTAACTTCAACAAAACATAACAAAATATGTCGGAATATTTCTAAACTAGTGCTATACTTTGTTGCGTATGAAAGGACTAGTATATCTACACGGTGCTTGGAATAATAATCTAGTTCACATGCATATGATGATATAAGCTTGTAAGGTTTATCCTAAGTTTCTAACAGTTATTTTTAAGTTAAAGCTCCTTTCTTAGCCATCCTAATTTCAGCTTACAGTTTCCTACCAGAATCTGTTTGTAGAATTACGTTTAATGCAAATGAGTAAGAGTAGTATTTAAGTTCCACTGACTTCGAGAGAGAGCCTCAGAGTTTCTGACTAGCGCGCGTTTGCCTTTTGGCCACGTCTTTCTAAGCTGTTACTACGCTCGGCCGTATTACAGGTCCTTGATAGCTTCAGTAGCTACTTCGATACTTAGGGGTCAACAATTTAGATTTGTGCTAGCTTCCGCTACATCTCTTTAGTTAAGCATTAATTAAGTCCTTATTTCTTACTTTTAAGCCCAAGTGGAGGCTTTGCTTTACGCCCTGAGAAAGGGGCCGACTGTTCATTCTTATTTGGAGCAATAAAGGGTAATTAACCCTTCGTGAGTTTTACTTTTCTGTTACTGAACTTAAACGATTCGCTTAGCTTTTCACGAGGTTTCTCCACTCTTTAAATAAAAGGGTGTAACCCCACAAGCTATCAATATTCTTAACATTTAGCAAGACCTTCTCAAAGTTCTTGGATTCTGCATTATTCAGGTTACAAGATTCCATCATTTTATAACGGAACTGCGGTTTTACACATCTAAGTATGTGATTTGTTCTTTTCTATTATTCTGTCATTGAAAAGTCTATAACCACAGTTTTATTTTAATCTCTTTCTCTTTTCGCCTGTTTCAATCAATCAGTGAATTCAAAAGTAAATTTAAAACACTGTGGCTTTAAAAATTGCAAATTTAGAATTCCGTGCATTAACATACCTCTACGAAACAAAAAGGTCATGATAAATCACAATATAAGTTTATGATAAATCACAAGTAAAAAAGAGAAATACATATTTCTGTACGTAGTGTCAAATTAAAAACTGTTATTTGCATTGAAGTATATAACGTACGCTCCATTTTTTTTCCTGTAAATGGTAGTATTTAGCACATTTCTGTAGCTTATTTTACATGCTTCAAAAACACATGCCACAGTATTAATTTTTAAGACTATTGAAATTCTTTTAACAGTTTGCAAAGAAAATGAAGAATACCGTGAGTGTGGGTCGGCTTGTCCTCCTACTTGCAGCAATCCTGGACCTGTTTCCTGCGCCGAAAGATGTATTAAAGGCTGCTTCTGCAAGACTGGCTTCGTGAGAGATCCACACGGGAAATGCGTACTCCCCACTAGCTGCCCAACAGGTGAGATAAAGAATTTAGAAAAGTAAAGAAATCATATGATGCTTTCAATATGTGAAGACTATTACAATTTTAAAAATGAGAAACTTACAAAATCAACTGTTGCCTACTTGGGATTTGAACCACAGATCTTTTATCTGTTATCTGAGTGTGCTAACTACTTACACTATGAGAGCAAGCACAAGGCAAGCAATAATTATTTATAGTTCTCCTAATATTAAAGGCGACTGGAAACAAACAACGAAATCCTGTCGATCAGATCCAGATAAATTATCGTCCACCATCTGAGCGCCATTGTAGAGACTGGCTTTAGATTTTAGAAACAAAATACGTTAAAAATTAATCGTGTCCTCGTCTAGAGGAGAACCACGATCTTCCATTTCCTGACTGGACAAATGCCAAGGTTAAATTCGATAATTCTCTGCAAATATTTCAGTCTGAAAGTACGAATAAAGAATGCATAGTTTTAACAATATATTAAGTTTACTTTCTTTAGTGAGTACTGGAAAAATTTTTTTTATGATTTTAGTCAATTTACTGTTAACATGCTAAAACTTTTTTAAAAACTTACGATTGTTTAAATTGTAGGATTTAGTTTTTCTAGCTATCATAAAACGTAACTAGAGCTACCTAAGTGTTAATGCTTGCAAATTCTTGCACAAGTCTTAAGATAACACAACCAGGGAAAGGGTGTAAAAGACCCTTTTAAATTGAACACAATGTAATTTACAGGCAGCACGGACTTACGTGCTTACAAATACCGACCATTTGCGGTGAGAACTTAAACAATACGTAATAGTAAATTTAAATTAATTAAAATTAATTATCCGTAATAGTAAATGTGTATTTTAGACGGATATATGTATTTCTAGGGAAGGGTCTGAGCCATGACTTTAATGCGTAGTAATTTGTAATTTATAAGGTAAAGGCATGTAGGGTGAAACTGAAAAAGAACGAAAAACAAATTTAGTCAATGCACGTTGTAGTTACTACAATTTACTCTTAATATAACTTTTTTTTCCTTAAAAAGAGTTATTGACCTTTTTGGTAGATATAACAACATTTTTTTTAAAATTCATCAGTCAAATTTTACACTTTTCTGTGAGATAATCCTTTTTTTAAAATCGAACTGGATATAAAGACATAAACTTTCAGTGCCTCGAGGTTTGTTATAGCGGGGTTTGATTGCATTAGGGCAGGGGTAGGCAACCTTTTGAGTCGGAGTCAAAAATTACAATTTACAAAATTTCAGAATCAGTGCCTAATCCTCGTTAATTGATTCAGAACGATTTTTAAATATTTTTTCTTTTTTTAAATAAATAATATTTGTGTATGGAACTAAAGAGCTGCAGCTTCACATCCAAAGAGTTGCATTGTGGCTCGCGAGCCGCAGGTTGCCGACCCCTACATTAGGGGGAAAATATGGGCTTCGAATTGTTATTTGATCGAATAATTGTAGACCATAAGTAAAGCTTGATGGATATTAATGCAAATCCTTATGTATATTTCCCTACAGAGCACTATGCACGGCAAGATCAGAGTGTTCCAAACAAGATGGACAGTTTTAAAGCAATTGTACTAAATAGGCTACTCTGTTGAGCTTATGACACAACCTTATTCTACTTAGAACTTAACTTTATCATTTAAAATTGATTTGCTTTAAAATTTAGAACCAGTTCACATCTAGCCTTATTCAATACCAGAGCTAAGAATTTTGCATTTTTAGTGTTAAGGGCATTTTTCTAAATAAATGTTCTATGAAATAGTATCTTGCATTTCAAAATTATTAATAAATTCATTTAAAAAATATTGCAGTTTGCAGGAAAAATGAAATATTCAAAGACTGCGCTCCTGCGTGTCCTACGACATGTGACAATTTTCGCAGAAGTCTCGTCTGTAAACTGCCCTGCGTGAGGGGATGTACCTGCAAGTACGGTTATGTGCAAGGGCCAGACAGAATGTGCATACTTCCCACCTCTTGTCCTCAAAGTGAGTACTTTTACAATAATTAACTCATGTAACAGAATTTTTCTAATAATAAACATTTTTTATGTTATGCTTCTGTTTTAAAAATTCTAGTTACACGCTCAGTTTGGCATTTTTGGACTTTCTCAAGATTCTTTACGTTAATATATTGCTTAGAGTCTATAAATATCTGCGAATATAATATGTCATTTCATCATGCCCATCATAGTGCACTATACCTTAGAATTCTACTATGGATTGTAATTAACAGAGATACTCACATCTGATTTGATTCATGGAATGTCATTATGCACAAATAGTAATATCTTAAGCAAGTGTTGGAAATAGCCACCATTTTCCAAAGGGCAGGTCCTAACCCTTCGCATTATACTTTTTGACATTATTCGTAGGACATTAGGGCTAATAGAATTCATCTCTGCAATAATGGATGACTCCAGATCTTCTAGAGTATGTGGGTTTGCTCAATATACATGTTCGTTCAAACCACTCCAAACAAGGAAACCTAGTGACAATAGACCAGGGGAACGAGGGGACCACAGAGGTTTTGAGAGCAAGTAATCACCAAACATTTTTCCAAAACTTCTATGGTATTTTTGGAAATATGGCACTTTGCCCAGTTTTTTTACAGGTAACAATAGCGTTCATAAGGTTGGAGAAGAGCCACAAATTACATAACTGTATTTTGATATATTGAACTGTCAAAGGTTTCTAAAAAAAAGTAAGATATATTATTCGTCATCGAGAAATCGCATACCAAACCCATACCCATTGAATGCAGCAGTGATTCATGTTAGATGGGCGGATTCTGCGTTGCTCAATATTTGTTGTTTTGACTTTTAATGTAGAAAATATACCAGATCGCTAAAAAGTAAATTATCCTGTGTGGCCATCTGCTTTCCATCTGGTTGTTAAGGAACTGGCAGTAGCTTATTCTTTTAGCAGTGTCTGGGGGTTCCAGTTCCTATACGCAATCCATTTGGTATGCATGTAGATCTAATTTCTTTGTGGTCTTTTGAGCCCTCCTGTACGGTATTTCAGTCTGCGATGATAATTTACACAAACTTGTTCTTGGCGACTGATCGAGTAATGCAAGTACCACTTCCATTTTCCCTTTTGTCAAACCTGAAGCACGCCTATTCTTGTCAACAACAGACTGGTATCTCGAAAGCGATCGATGATTCTCGTTAATGTTGAGTTGCTTGGCACGGGTGCATCTGGAAATACAACACGAAATTGTTCTTTAACATGTTCATATGACTTGCTACCGAAATACACCTCGACAATTAACACCTACTGTGCTACTGAAAATAGCATGATTATTCACAAGAGTTATACCACACTAAACCACACGTTCTGTAATCACAAACACCATGTTCTCTGTTCGAGCAAAAGCAATTATTGCATGCTGTACGCTAATGCCATCTACCGATAAGTCAGCTACGTAGCCAACACCTAGATAAATACGAAAAAACATTCAAAAACCGGTGACACATGGTTACCTAATGCCTATGTGCAGATAATTCATGTGATAAAATGATCGATTGATATATAGGACTATATCTGCTTTCTTTAATCTTATAATATAACGTCCTGTTGCATTAAAAGTCTAAACTCCTGTATTCTCTGGTATTTCAGAAATGTACAAAGTGCAATTTCTGACTGGAATACTAGTATTTTACAGAAAATTCCCGTAGTTTAAGGTAATAATCGGGAAATTGTCGGCCAGCACTTACTTATCTGCTGAGGCTACAATTTGCTTTACAGTTATGATGAACTTAAAAATAATCTTTTTCAAAGTTTTCATAAATACATTTAGGTCTTTTGATGGTAGGAAACGTGAAAAATCGATACACGCGTGGGGAAATGTTAAAATTTCTCATATTCTGTAACCGCATAAAGGGTGTCTAGGAAGAGGTACGCGATTTCGTCGATCAAATCCAGGTAATGTCGAATAATTGTTCTCCACAGTTTAGTTCATGTACCAGTATAGAAGCTTTAAGATTTTTCTAATCCAGGAAACATAAAAAATCAACTATGCCCCCCACTAGGAGGCAAATCATGGATCTTCCATTTGCAAGCTGGAAGTGCTCATTATTTACATCGCAAGAACCCACTAAGAGGGATGCAAAAATTCCTTACATTTTTCACATCCGAAAATTTATATTTCATTCATCTGCTGTGGAAGAACATGATCCTATAGTCCTCGGTATGCAATCAGATTAAAAAAAAAAAAAAGAAAGAAAGAAAACTACAGCTCATTAACATGATTTCTCATTCCTTATTTTTTACAATCTGTTTTACTATTATTTTTTTTTTTTTTTTTGTCTAACACTAACTAACGCCATCAGAATTAGAAATTTAGTTCATTAGATGGCTCATACTTTGAATCTAAAATTAATTACATTTTAGATTCGATTTTTAGCTCAATGCAATCACGTCATCAGTGAAATATTTATTAATTATTTACTAGTGAGGACCCGAAGTTCGTTCGCTTTATTGCTGCTATCTGTGGGGTCATTTCTTACTAAAGTTGGTAATTGCTGCACCACAGATGCCTGAGTGTCCTTGAAAGTGAAAAGTGACCTTGGGGGGGGATTCGAGCCGAGGTCTGTGGCATAGAAACCAAAGGTCGTCCCACAAAGTAAAAGTTAACTTCAGCCTCCGCTACCAATGTTTGGATGTTTTCTAAAGGGAGTTGTTGCCGAGCCACTCAAGGCTTTTATCTCATTTTTTCATTTCTCTGTGAGAATTCCGATCCTTTTCTTGATTGCGTAAGCTTCAAAACTTATATTGAATATTCTAAAATTATTCGGCTAGCATTTCCTTTTATGAAAAATTGTTAAACTATCTTTTATATTAAGCAAAACTTTCTGAGGAATTTTCGTTAACTTCTCTTTTACTGAGATCTTCCCTCTATCTTAATATCTTTTTAACACGATGGAGTCTTTCTGCTACTGATTGACGAAAAATATACAAAAATTATCTGTCTTGCGGCGGAGAAAAACTTTCGTGAAGGATTTTTCACGAAAAATCTCGTTTAATTGTATAAGTAACTCTCCGCAGTGCCAATCGGTTTCGGCCGCACCAGTGCCAAGTGGTAAGACCCTTGAATACTGGTAGTTCAACCTGCTTTTGATTCGGGAACTAGGCAAATGGGTTGGTTGCGTGGCTTGTTTTTGTAGTTTTCCGCATGCGTAGCGTGAATACGATCCAGTTTCCCTCAGCATACCTCCTCACAGGCAGATAGCCTTCCTGGTTTTGCCATATTCAAATAAGCTAACTTAACTTAACCAATATGTTTTGCGAAAAACCTACGCCGGAAAGACGTTACAGTGGTTCTGTGTATTGGACAGTTGGTAACTTATTATAATTACAATCTAATTTCTAAATACAATTTAATTTCGTTATTTCAATCGAATTCATCAAATATCAAATCTAACAAATAATTTACGGTTTTTCAGCCGCTCTTGTATTTGAAATGCTCCTATAATTTTCAGCCCTGTCTTTTTCAATAAAATGAAAACAAAAGCTTTAGCTTGCATCCTGTGAAAACCATTCTGGTCAATTTTGCCTTTACATTAAAAATTTCTACTTATATTTTAAAATTAGGAATTATAGTAATAAATTTATTTATCAGTCAAGATTTTAGAGAGTGAAAATAATTCATCAATCCATTGCTGTTATTTAAAATTAAATACTGAAGCAATTAAAAGCAATTTAATCCACATTAAAAATTTGTTGAAAGAGATGGTGGTGGGGGAAAACTGCATTGAATGCAAGTAAGTCTGAAAATTATATTTTTATTTTTTAAATTTTTTAGAGGAAAATTAACATCTTATAAGTAAAAGAAGTGGTCTTAGATGTTATATTTAGAAAGGGTGAACTTCGTGATGTTTGTCTTGGGAGATGGCTTTCATGCATATTGCTCAACAAGCAACATTCAATATTCTAAGTAAAGCAGGTATGGAAAATGTAATATATGTAATGTATTCACAAATTAGACTCTTTAACTACTAAATAAAAAATCAAATGCAGCTTTTAAAAATTCTCATTACTGTTATTCTTAGGTTCTTTGAATATGACAAAGCACGCGAAGCTTATCTGCCTAACGGAAAAGATGCCTTCGTGGAGGACTTTTTAATGGAAACTGGCTAGTATTCACGCCACATATGGGAAAAACCATGAAAACTAAACATGTAGCCAGTCTGTTCATCTGGGATCAAAACCTAATTGAACTACCAATGATGTATTACCGTTGTTTTCTTCTTTTTAAATTACTTTTCTATATAATTACCGTCATTATTAGGACATTTTTCATAATGTGTATCCCCGTTTCATATCTCTATGTATTGTATCTACAGGACATGGGGGAACTTAAGGGGTGTTGGAACCCAAAAATCTTCAAAAAATTGCGATTTCGGATTTTTGCATTTTCAAATTCTCTACACTTTTATCTTTCTAAACATACCATTCTTTAATCTCTATGAAAATTAGAACTGTAAAAAATCTAGTTTTAATTTGTCATCGAATGCTTTGAAAAATGAGGATTTTTACATAAAAACGGTTTTTCTCCAAACGTGATTTTTTTTATACTCGATGTACCTTTTCTCAGGAGCTACTGCTCACAGGTACACTGCTCAAAAAAAAAAAAAAAAAAAAAAAAAAAAAAAAAAATGGTACAGTGCTATATCTCCTGTTCTACTGGGCCGATTGACAAATTCAAATTGCGTTTTTCATGTCTCGAAAGCGCGACTTAGGATATATATTAGATTTATATATAGCACTATTCTAACATAGGTATTTTGATACAAAATCGGACTTTTTCTGAAATAACATACCAATTTTTTCCAATATTTCGATTCTACGTCTCAAATTATGCCAGAATACCAAGTTTTTGTAAAAATCGTACGAGTAGTTTTTAAAATATTAGCTCTCAAAATTTTAGCTCCTCATTGTTAATTGAATTTGGCAAATATTTATTAATATCTCTTTTTTTATTAAAC